TGCAAATGACATTAATATATTGGATTTGTGTAAACAGAAAGAAATATGGAACTGAAAATAATTGGGGTCCAAGAAATACTGGATGTGGGAGAAAAATTTAGATAATTCATATTTATTGTGTTTAATTTAAATTAAATGAGATGGTGTATCAAAAAAGTTGATACTAGTACAATTTGTTACCAATCAGCAGTGCAATGTGGCTGTGACTGTTGAACCATATAATGCAGTGGATGTAGTTCTGTAGTTTAAGTTAAACTTATCTAATTAATTTTGTAAATCAATTAATTTTTCTTAATTTGAAAAAGTGTAAAGGTTTAAAAGAGAAGAATAAAAGAGTAAGAATATTATTGTTTTGTGGTCACATATCAGTTCGTATTTGTCATATTTTTAGGCAAAATTCCTTGTATTTACCCATCTCTCTTAGCCCAAGTTAATGAGACTCTTGCAACGATAGGGATGCACTTTCAAACTTGGAAAGATAGGTGTGCATTCTGTCCCATTAGAAAATACAACAGCTGGGACACATGCCTACTACATAGGGGCCACCACCAGAATGCTGTGTTGTCATTTAGCTGAGCACTGACATTCTGTGGCAGTGCTCAGCTAAATGACAACAAAGTGTGACACTGAATTAGTCAAAATGGTCTTGCTGCATCACCACACCCCTCTTTGGGACTGCTCTGTATTACTTAGGAGGTGCAGTGAAAGGAACCTAGTGTTCATTTGGAAGTCACTCTTCATCACATTGTTGTCCCTGTACAACTCCTCCACCCTTGAGTTGCCTAGCATTTGGGTCAATTTGTACAAATGAATGAATAATACTAACTTCTTATCTCCACCTATCATACACCTCTCTGTGTTTGTCTCTACAAACACAGAGAGGTGAAGTGCATGTGTGTAGACTCTACATGATTTTTAAAAATGTTTTAAAATTTTATGTTCTAAGTTTTGTATTTCATTTGGTCAATACAGTTTTGTTTCTGTGCTTTAAAATTTGCTTGGAAAAAGCATGTAATCTTCAGGCAGAAACTGAAATCAAATTTATAAGAATGTTGAAAGCGTTTGCAAAGAATTAAGAGCTCATTAATGCCGTTTTGTATCAATTTATTCTTCTCTTTTAAGTACATATGTTGGCATGATGTCCAAGTTACATTTTTGTGTAAAGGTTTTTATTTTATTTCTTAGATATAAATTAATTAATTGTTTGTTTGTTGTAATTTTTGTATTTGAAGATAGCAAAAGTTTGTTAAATGATAGATAGGTTTACCAAATTCTAATTTGCATACATTTTTCCTGTGGATGTTGAGTGTGATTAATGGGGATGAGCATTTCTGCCAATCTGAAAAACCATGTTAAAGTTAAACTTTTTTTATTTTGTTAATTTGAGTAAATTACTGGGCTATGTACAGTTTTGCAAGATTTTAACTTTATTGTTAACTATTGTAATGACAATTTTTTGGTTATTGACTTAAATTTTTTTATTACTTTTTCCTGTCATTTTAAGTGTCCTGTCTTTTTGTATTAATGTTCTTTCTGTACATAGGCTCTTAAAATATGGATAACAAAGGAACTCTATATAGTTTACTTTTTATCTGTTTTGTGTCATTTTAAATGGCTTTAATCTGTTTTAATAACATTATTTTAGAATATACTGTACAGAAAGAGATAACAAATTAATTCTCTTTAATGTTTACTTCATTATCCATTTATTTAATGTTTGCATTATATTTTTGCTTGTTTTCTTTATTTCTCAAGATTATAGTGATATATGTTGGATCACAAAGTAAACTTATTAAAGTGTACTTACTTTAATAAGTTTACTTTGTGATCCAACATATATTTTTGTACATTTTTGACAACATTATGTCTTGTTTATAAAATCTTACTGCCATTTTTTGTTACCAGCATAGAGGTATGAAGGAGTACATGTCGAGAGTTGATATTTGGCACAGAGTATTATGTGCCCAAATCATTTGTGCATAAAAAATCCAGACTGGTAGGTAGTCATGGGATCGAGAACAGAGTCAAAATAAAATACAAAATGGCGACCCTCTTCTACAAACAAGCAAAACAGCCACCTCATCCCATCGAAGTCAGGTGGGGGAGAGTACCACCTGCAGTTATTCTAAGAAGTGAACTCTGACCTTAGGACTGAAAGCGTAGTTTCTTCTATGTCAAATAAAATTTTTAATCTAATTTTGTAAATTTGGGAGTGCTTCAAATATGATGTTAAAATGGTTTTATGTTGTTACAAGTAGGTTTTTTTAACATTATTTAGTATAATATAATCATGGTATTAATAAAAATTTCACATGTAGGGCAGATGGCGCCACCGCATGACCTTCACCTTTTGTATCGTATGTCTGATTTGTGTTCTCTTATTCTTACCCCCTTCGAGCGTTTTTTTTTTTTTCTCTTTGACCTCACTTTGCTCCTAAACTCTAATGAGGAGAGACATCTTTTTACTTCATTTAGTTAACTTTTCAATTTGACAGCCATGCCAATCTTGGATTTGTATTATATCTTGACACTATTGTAAATATCGTGTAGCCGATCCAAATTAAGTAAATTATTTGCCTGGGTCATTTCTCAGTTTTTATTGGCAGAACAAAAGACTGTGGACTTCACGGACAAGGTAGGACATGCCACATACAGATTTTAACCATACCACTAAAGACGTTATACTAGGGTTGTCATTACATCTGATGACATTATAATCTGGTTAAACTGTATATTGTTTGTGCAAAATAAAAAAATAATTTCAGACAATACAATAGCCACAATTATTTTTTTCAAAAACGGGAAATTTTCGTTAGGCATCAACAAAATTCAACCTGGGCCGACACGCAATGGAAAGAAATTTTGACATGGATAGGTTAATTTCACCGAAAATGCATCATGGACGACCTCATGGACATGGCCGGCAAAGTCTGAATGATCGCGCTCAAAACCAGCAATACTGAAGAAGATTGGAGAATGAGAACGAGATCCGCTTGAACGTCAAAGTGATTCTGCTTAGTAGTGAGTCTCCAAGACATAGTCTTATCCCAAATATGGCTTTGCCATTTTACTTGTTTATAATAGTATTTGATTACTTGCTGTTTTCTCAATTGGTTGTATGTTCCTTAAAATTTAGCATAAAATTGCAATTGAGAACTTATCACACAGGAACATAGTTCTCTTGATGGAAAAAGTTGATTTTTATTTTCTATTTTGTACAAAGGAACTTAACAGAAAATAAAAATCAACTTTTTCCATCAAGAGTATGTGTTCCTGTGTGATAAGTTCTCAATTGCAATTTTATGCTAAGTTTCATGGAACACGTTTTTTATAAGTTTACATTCAACCTATTAATTGTTTAGTTTTTAATAATTTTAGAAAAATCTTCCCAAAAAACCACGTGTTTTTATTTATTTAATCCCAAAAAGGAAACCCTTTTCTCAAGTGTCATTACAGGACCAAATGGTTTAAAAACATTTTTGTTGTAGGCATGTAAAAAAATTGTATTTGTCATGTGACATTCATCCTTGCATCACATGGTATTCACACTATTCAGGTTCCTCTCTTGTTGCTGATAGGTAACAAAGTATACAATGCCAAAAAGTTTAATGAGTATTTGATCAATATTTAAAGAAGCAAATTAAAGAGTCAAACGCTCAAAGAAAACATTAAATTTAAATAATTTAATATTAATAAACAATATATGTAGGCTTATGTTCAAAATTTTTATAATATGGCTTATTAGGTATTGATTAAATCAGGTATTGTTGGCTTATTTTTTTAAACCATAATATAGCAAATTATAGCAAATTTTACTGCAGTTTAAATATATTGTACACTGTAAAGATTATGATATAATATAGTATGTTTCTGTTAAACAAGTATGATATAATCAGAAACAGAAAATATTTGAAAATAGTTTATAAATAAATGTTAAAAATTAAACAGTTCTTTATTATTTTGTTTAATTATATCAACAAAACAATATGATGTTTTCACTTAAAAATATATCATGAAATTACAAATTGTAAAAATGTGACATGTAAACAAGCATTTTAATAATTTAAAAAATAAGTGTGACCAATAAAACACAGATTTAAGCAAAAAGTCAATAGTTAAGAGAAATTCAAAAATAATATCAGAATCTCAATGTTTCCTTACCTCATTTGATTTGAAACCGGAATCAGTTTCCTTTGTTTTACCAGTAGCAAATTCTAGTTTGTTTTCACTTTATTGGACTGAATATATCAAATCATTTAAACAGTATCTTTAAACAATCAAATATAACCCTCCACAGTCTCACTCTCAGATGCATCAGTTTCAAACACAATGGCTTCATTTAAACAAATATTATAGGCCTATTTATTGTTTTATGAAAATTTATTCTAATTTTCTAATAATGCAAAAGAAATTACATAGTCTTTTTTGAAATAAATATTGATATAACTCATGGATTTAAATATGTTATATTGGATATTATAAATTATATGTTATATGATATTATAAATTATATGTTTGTTTTGCAATATTTTAGAACCTAAATGCTAAAAATTAAAAAAAAACACTTCAGTTCTTATTTAAATATGTATTAATTATTTTAATTTTAGGTTTTTTAAAAATAAGAGTAATTTTGTAATTTGGTAATTATCATATTTTTGTGTTTATAATTCACAGAAAATTGTTAAAATAAAAATAAAAACTTTTGCATAACCCATCCCATTATATATGCAAACCTATGGGAATAACCATTACTCTGTAGGTGCAAGTTTGTAATTGCATTTTAAAATTTGCATATAACTTGTACCCTTTCAAATTGTCTTTTGAACACAGATAATCCACACACAAAAATATAGTATTGTCTAATAGAAATTAATGATAAAATAGCTTATAGGGTTAAATAAAAAGTCAATTATAATGAAAGTACTTGTTTTAAACATTTCATATTAAAGCTATGTTTATTGGTGTTTAAAAAATGTTTAAGTTATTTTTATTTCTGATAGGATGAAGAATTTGAAGGCTTTCCTGTCCAAGATGAGAAAACAAGGAATGCTGTTTTAAATAGAAGGAAAGAATTAAATTCAATAGATATTTATACAGATTCTTCTGTTTTTCATATTCCAGTTCGTAAAAATAAGTTACTTGAATACAACAGTCTTTCATCAACTGATATATACCAATCCACTGATACATCCAAAGAACAAACTTTTTCTTCTTCATTGTCACAATTTCAAAAAGATGACACATCTAAAAGATATAGAACTCAAAATTCAATAAGTGATAACTTTTCACATCAGTATAAAAGTAGAGGAACCTTATCCAAAACTATAGCTCGCCTAAAAGCATCAGCAGATGTTGCAGGTAGATTAGTTTCTTGTCAGCGAGGAGAACTCTGTACAATCCCTGATTGTGAAATACATAATGTTTCAGAAAATGGAGATCATACAAATTCTACTTGTGTTGAAACTATAAATACTTCAGTTACTAAATATTTGTTAAATTCTAAAGAGAAAAATTCTGAAATTCCTTTAAAGAAAAGGACTGAATTATATAGAGAAAATAAAGAAGTTAATCTTTCTCCCACTGTCATTAAAGAACAGGCAGAATCTGAAAAATATTTGTTGGCATCATCAAATTCTCCAGTATCCTCAACAGCACATCAAAATTTTACAAATATTGTGAATCAAAATGACAGTATAGTTGGAAAAACTTTGACATTAAATTCAGTTAGTGAAACTAAAGTTGATAACAATAATTCAGATAATAAATGTGAAACTTCTGACATGCAAAAGATTGATAAAAAAATTTCTTCAGAAATGGCAAATGCTGTCAATATATCAGAATTAAATGAATGCAAGAATGACCACATATCTGTTAATTCAGATGAAAAGACACTTTCAAAAAGACAGGTGTATAATCAAAGTTCTGATGAACATTTGCCAAAAAAGAGAAAACTAAAACTAAATAATACAATTATTACAAATGAAACTCCAAATAATATAAATGAAAATACACAGTCTGAAAAATCTCACAAAAATATTAATCCTAATGAAAATTTATTGGGTGAGTCAGTTTCATCTAGTCAATCAAAAGTAATAGACGAAATACCAGTTTCAAAATCTAACACTGAAGAACAAGTGGAAATTTCATCAGTAAACTGCACAACTCCGTACTGTTTGTCAGATTCAGGAAGAAACTCTAAACTTAGTTCTTCTTGTTCAATTGAAGAACTAATTAAACGTAAAATGGTAAGTAGATATGCTGATATAATGGCCACTAAATCAAAGGATAAATTTTATTCAGAAAATGTGAAGGCATTGTCTGCAACAAAATCAGAAAATATTATTCAGTTTCATAAAACTGGAAAATTAGAAAAAGTGGCTTCAAAAATAGAAAAAATTTTAAAGTCTCAATGGGAAGGAAGAATAAACACTGATTCTTCAATTCCTACATTATTTACTTCATCGTCATATAAGAAGAATAACCAACAGTGTTTGTTTTCTCAAAATAGAACTCGAAATATTTTGTGCAAACCTCGCTTACAGTTAAATCATCAGAAGCTTTTAGATCTCCACAAACCTGAAAGTGTTAAAAAACTTAATGAACAATTTAAAAAATGTGATGGCAATACACAATCTCTAGTTAAATTTCCTTTCTCTACAACTAAAACAAAAGTTGCTACTCCTCCGCCACCAGCACCACCACCACCACCACCACCACCTCCAGCTCCAACACCACCACCACCACCTCCACCTCCAAAGGCAACTAAACCAGCTGAAGAAGGTATGTTTTTTATAATTAAAATTTTATATGTAGAAGTAAGTTTTAAATAAGTTCATAATTAAGACTTTTATTTATTATTTTAAGATAAAAAATGCAAAATATAATTTTTTTAATAAGTAAAAATTCTTTTCTTTGTTAAGTAACATATTTGTTAAGTATTATGTAACATATTTTAATATGGTTCTTTTATTAACTGATTATTGAAAATTAGTCATTCCAATTAATTTATTGTCACTTTCTTAAACAAAGGAATGTAAGTAGTCTTTTGCATTACCTTTATTCATAATCTTAAAAATTTTCAAATTTCATGATTTATAAATGGGAGTCATTTAATTCAGAATTTCTTTTTATGCTATCTGTGTAAGTAGCAGTATTAAAATAAAAAATATGAATAATTTTTGAAGAATGATTTAATACATGCTTTCAAGTACTTTAGATTTATCTGAATTGTAGATAATACTTGCATAGAATATAAATATTGATCTATGTGTAATACTGATAATACTATTAGTAACATTATGATAGAGTTTCAGGCTAATCAGTTCAGAATCTTTTATAATCAAACAAACATCCAGACTTTTTGGATCTTAACGTAATTTGTTGCATCATTTGCCAAACCTCATTTATCATTAAATATGATGCAGTTTATGTTTTCAAGGCATAGCATACCAATTGTAAGAAGTATTAGAAAAGAAGTGCATCATCTCATTTACTTTCCCCCCTCTGGTCATTGCATCAGCAATGTGCTTCATTGGCTGAGTTTCCAAAGATGGTGGGTGACCCTAAGTGACATGATGAGATTGTTCTTTGAGTAAAAGGAAATTTCTTTGAGAATAGTGTTGCAATATTAACTTTATCTGAAATAAGATTACAAATTCATTTTGCAGTACACAATAAAAACATGCATATCCACATATAAATGGAGAATTTTCAGGTTTCTTGTGATAGATTGATTCTGGATTTCCCATTTATTTTCCATTCTTAAGCTTGATGTTTATCAATTTACCATGCTCATAATGTATATAATTAATTTTTTAAACTAAAATAAACTAGAAAGTGTTCAAAAGAATCAGAAGTTTTTAGCAGAATTGAAATTGGAATCTAGGAAAATTTTGGTACCATCTCATCATTAATTAAAACAAAAGTTTACATTTTACATTTTTGATTAATTGATTATGGTACATACTTAGTCTGTTATCATCAAATTCTATTATTATTTTCTGCAAAAAATGATAGTTTTTCATGTATTAGGTTATTGAAAATACAAAATTGAAAAAAATCTTTAAAACTTTTTTGCAAAAATATTGGTGTGTAAATTATCTGTCCATCAGCTCCACTTGACAAGTAGAATTACAAATCCTAGACATTTGAGAATGTTAGTGCCATTAAAAGATTTATATCTTCAATATTACAAACTATATACAATATTGAATATAGAAGAGAAGATCCAAAAGCAAAATATAAAATAAATTTGAAATAGCAAAACATAAAAATACTGTAAATTATAAAACCAATACATATTCTGTAGCCTGAAAATATAGTAGAGCATCGATTATCCGACTCAGTTGGGGACTCGGGTTGGTTGGATAACTTAAAAAATCAATAACCGAAAATAATGAAAAAAATACATTATTAGTATAGTATATTAGTATATCCCGTGTAATTAGTATANTAATGCTTATGTAAGTCATAGAAAAAAATGCCTTAGGGGTTCGTGGCATCACATGTTTATGTCATATCCAATTAGTTTTATCACATACGATCGATCTTCGTTCACTAAATACAAGTCAAAATCCGTATTGACATCTGGAGGAAAAGACAATAATCCTTGTTTCTTACTTCATAATCACGTATATAAACGTAAGAAATGAAATATTAAATCTTGATTGATATATTAAATATATAATGTGTATAATTGAGTATAATAATATTTAATGGTAACAATTTAATAAATCAAGTAACACTTTTATTATAGATGTACTGCTCATTTATTTCGTTATATGGACACGAAAAAATCAGTATAATTGTCGATTATTATATCGATTTTTTCGTGTTCTTGTAACGAAATAAATGAGCAGTACATCTAAAATAAAAATGTTTTTAATTTATTAATTTGTTATCATTACAAATTTAATTGTGTATAATAATAAGTATATTAAATTGTTTATTAAAAATAATATTTTTAGAAATTTTGATAATACAAAATTATTAGATTTAAAATATATTTTTATATAAATTCGTTTCGTATGATGTAAATAACTTTATAAAATCAAAAATCGTTAGCATAACAGATTTATCCTTCTGCACGCAACGTTTAAAACTATCAGAATTTAAAATCACTTAGAAAACTAAAATTAGTTTTCTAAGTGATAAATTTCAACGTTTTCTCAGATAATTTTATAAAAATTGTAAATTCGAATCCATACTGATTTTAAAAACACATAAAAATTTTTTTATAGCAATAAAACACTGGTTAAATAATATAAAAAAAAAACTTTGAAAAACTCATCTAAATATTTTATTAATTTTCATGTGAATTATTTATTCACTTTACAATTTTAAACTTCTTTAAAGAATTTTCAGAATTTTTTAAAATTTTATTTAAAATTTAAATTCTGTAATATTATTGAAATGTTTATTTATTTTATTACGTTAAATGCTACATTATTATTTCACTTGTATTTTTATTATAGAATCGCTAACACAGCTGTTCAGCATCTTGACAGNCTTCGCGTTGAATTTTCATTGATGTTAAGCGTAACAAAAAAATTTTTTTAAATAATAATTGTCGCTATTGTATCGTTAAAAATTATTTTTAAATTATTTTATTGCTCACAAAACAACCACTCATAATTAGAAAATTAAGCCTCGTTTAAATACTGGCCTCCCTTTCATGGTCAAGCCAGTGTTGTCAGCTAAAACACGCAAAAATTTAACAAAAACAATATTAAAGTAGCCAAGACATAGCCAATTATTGTAGCGCCACATCACTAGCGGACATTTGAAATTTGCCGACTAGAACGGTCGGTTAACCAATGTGACAGTTAATCGGGGGTCGGATAATCGATGCTCTACTGTAGTATCATTTGTTTTCGACACATTTAAATAACTCAGTCATTCTATTTATGGAAGTTTATTAAAAAAAAAAGATGTCATATATCTAGTATCACAATTTGGAGAGATTGTTCATAAAATTTTGTTTATTATTAAGAAAGAATGTCTCAGAGATTTTAGAAATGGTAAATAAAACTTTGTCAAGAGAACAAGTTTATGAATGGTTTAAGTGGTTTAAAGATGGATATAATTCAATGAAAGATGAGGCAAAGTGATTGGAATGAAACTTGGTCAAGGTCTAATTGAAATGAGGATAATGATCTGAATTTTTTAAAATTAATAGTAACTAGTGATGAAACCTGGTGTTATCTATGTGACACTTTAAGAAAATGCCACTCTTCAAATTGAAGTTTCTAAGTTTGCCCCAGAAGAAGAAAATTTAGATTGACAAGTCCAAAGGTGAAGTCATGCTTGAATTACTTTTTGACCAAGGAAATATTATTCTTTATGAGTTTATACCTGAAAGATTTACTATATATAAAGAAATGTATGTGGTAATATAGGAGTATCTAGCTTAGAGGTTTAATAAAAGAAAAAGGTATAATTTAATGAAAAAGTTGTCTTCAAATACATAAACTCTGATAAATTTTTTACATTTGAACACATTTTAATACATGCAACTAAGTGATGTAGCAGATGTCCAACTTCATTCCATCTCAACCATATAATCATTCAATAGCATGTGAGGTTGTTGATGGCCTGACAAACGTTATATCTCAGATCATTCAAGTTATGCACAGATGTACTGATGTACAAATGATACACTTCATTATTCACAAAATCTAACAGGAAAAAATTCAGTTGGGTAAGAACCAATCTACTGCCTGGGAAACTCCATTCAGAAATGGTTTTATCTAAATTGCAAAGTGAGGAGGAGCCCACATCTTATTGAAAAGTCATTCCAGGAAGAAGTTGAGGGAAAGCATGAGTTGCATCATGTCCAAATAACTTGCTCCAGTCACTTTGGCCTATTACCTGCTCTTTTGTTAATGTGCACCTATTTTTTCATTCTGCACATGTGCTAATAACTGCAGCACCAAGGTATGATATTTCTCACAAATGCCAACACAATGCATAACATATATATGCCCACTTCCAGTCTGATACAAATACAACTCAAGTTATAAATTTTTCTTTTATCAAATTTCTTAGCCAGACACTGTGTTAGGGTGCTTAATTAAGAGATGTTATTAAGAGGAAGAAACTAGACTTGTGGAAAGAATACTGGATATTATTTTATGACAATGCATCAGTTTGTCAGGCTACAATGGTGGACATATTCCTTGCCAATCATTCAGTAACTTTGAGACAGCATCAATACTTATTGAATTTGTTCCTTGTGATTTTTATTTTATTTTTCCAAGGCCTAAAATTAATTTGAAAGAAAACTGCTTTTCAAATGTAAAAGAGAACTAATGCAACAATTGCCTTAATTAAAGGACATCTAAAAAAAAAGGCTTGAGACTCTGTTGCAATTATACATTTGCTGGAGGAAAAATGTGTAAATTGCTAGGGCTGGTATTCTGAGAAATTTGACCTGTAATTATATGTTAGTGTTGTATTTTTTAAAGTAAAATATTAGTCCTAGATCTTCTTGATCCTACCTGTATATACTAAAATACAAATTATTTCTTTCATTGCATATGTAATATTGAAAATTAATAGTAAATTTTATTAATTAATTCAGATACATCTGGAAGAAAAGATCGACCTGGAGCAGCAGTTGACTCAACACCTGTAACCCAAACAGGTACTGTACATTGCCATTTACATTATCTAGATATCCAACTTGATCTTTGTATACACAAATCTAAAATTAACAAAACCACACTGGTTTTGTTAATTTTAGTAATTATATTATTAAATTTAGGAATAATTAATATTATTTCTTTNATAATAATAAAACAGCAATTAGAATTCGAGTCTGAAAGAGATGAGATAAGACGTGGCCAGTCAAACTTGTAGAGCCCAACTCCTCCCTGAAAACCATAAAAACAAATTTTTATCACTCATGAAAAGAAATTTTAATAATTTATATTATTTCTGTATTAAATGTTGTTTAAAGAATAAATTTTGAAAAGCTGTATGCGTCGGGAGTCGAAGCCAAATGGTTTTACTGACTCTCTTTTATAAAAGGTCAATTATAATGACTCGTTGTTAATTTTAAATTTGTACTTAGATTATATTTTCAGAATTAAATAAATACAGGATGGCCTAAAAGTCAATTAACCACGATTCAGTCATTCTAATGAAATTAAGTAACACTATTCAAGATTCAGTGGAAGCGACTGAATCACGAATTATATATACTGTAACATGCAACTGTTGCAAATTGATTTTAATTGCTTTAAATAATCTTGAAATATATTCCGGTTAACTGACTATTTGGACTCATCTTTATTTAATAAGTATAAAAAATTAAGTCCTTCGTTATGTTTAGTGAAAAATAAGAAGTTCTCTTCAATCTGTTCGCATTTATTAACTTTCGCAACAGATAACATCGAATGAACTTTGTGAATGTTCTTCTTATTCTTCGCTTCATCCGAAAGTTTAGTGGTCAACTATCTTAATGAATTGTCGCCATTTTTTTCAGTCTTTTAAACCTTCATCTAACAATTCCTTTTTCTATCGTGTCATTTCTTATTCTATCTCACCACTTAATCCATACCTTCACTTTAATCTCTTTTGTTATTACTTGTTTTCTCTCGACTTTTTGTTGGTACTTTATACTTTGATGTAACTCTTTAAACAAACAATATTAAAATTGATGCTATACATATTATCTAATGGACTATGTGATATTGAAAAATTATATTTCTGTAAGAGGCAAGCAATTCTTTGATTTTCTGTGATATGATTTACTTAATTGATATTATTAATTTTGTGAGATCCAGCCTGGGGTACAGGTAGGTTGTTACGCCTGTATCACTTAATAGGCAGCCCAGTCGGTAAGACTAGTTCTCGGTCGTCAACAAGAACGGCCTTCCCCAGACTTAGGGAAACGAGTGTGGAGGGTCTTACAGTTATAGTTTTAAACGGAAGTTGGTGATGGCGAATCCACTTTCTTCCTTATGTCAGGGTCCCGACACCAGTTTATCTATTTCTAGTAACGCGGATAAACACGTGAAATTTATGCCATAGATCTGATTCAGGAAATAATTCAGAGACATCTATTAACACAATAAATATATAATTTAATAAACAAAATAAACACTACCAATACAGAATAAGAAATAATCAATTAATTCAAATGGACAATCAAAGAACGAATAATCAATATCGATCGCGACAGGAGGAAATCTATTCTTAGTCTATAACCGAGTCGAGAGAGAAATGTATTCTTAACATATACATTTACGAGAGAGAGAGAGCTCACAATTTAGTCTTAAACATATGACCTGTTTACTTGGCAGTGTCGTCTTCTTATTCGTGAAGGTACTTCATTGATAACTTACGAGTAACTTGTTCGGGGATGACGATGCGTTGGTCTACTGGCATATCGGTGTGGAGTCCTTTCACTCTCCGATTTATGGATGAACTCTTAAGGGCGTTGGCCTTAGAGAGCGAATGTGTGGAGTCCTGACTCTTTCAGGTCTGCCGATCAACTCCTAAGGGCGGTGTGGAGCCAATATGGGAGACGTCTCTCCTCTATGAGATTTTCTGACGAACTCCCTGAATACGGCTGAACTTCGCATATATCTTCTGATTTATGACCAATTATCAGTCGAGGTTTTATCCACGTGAATGGATGGGAAGGGGATGAAATGAGGGGTAAACAATTCCCATCGAAGTGAGATTTTTAGCAGATAAGGGGAAAGACAGAGGATGTTCATACTTCCGTGAAAGGAAGTGACTCTCCTAGCTGTTTTCCCACGCTAGAAAACGTTATTTTTCCATCAAAATGAAAGAATATTTTATGATAACATTTTGACATTATTTTGAAATTATTAATTTAGACCCGGGGGCATTTCGGATCTCACAATTTATAAGTATTTTAGCTGTATTGATAAAACTGATGATGTATTCAAGTTAATCAAATATGGTATGTAAATGTAAAGAAATATGTATATATAATTCTTTACATTTATATATCATATTTGATTAACTTGTAAAATAATATAATAATATATATATATTATTTTTTTTTCAAATAAATCACATCCCTTAACTAGTAAAAAAAAAAAAATCCGTGAGTTGCTTGATTTTCCTTGATGACATTTGGTGCTACCATCTGTTCTTATATTTTATTAAAAACTTTTTACATTTTTTATTATAAAATGGCAAAAAACTTAATTTTGAGGTTAGGGATGGGTTTTATAAAAAATTGTAAATGCTAATAATGAATAAAATCATCATTAAGTTCAACCTTACTCAAGATGTGACATACAACTCTCCTTTATCTCCTCACTCCATTGACCTTTCACCAAATCACTAAAATTTAATAGCATCAATCACCTCAATACACAAATCTCCCTGCAGAATTTCAGATAAAAAGCACAGGATAAAAAGCACAGGAGTTATTAAGATTCAAAGAGAGTGAACAAAATTGTGCCCCATACATACACAAAAAGAAAAACCAATTTTTTTTGCATTTCTCAACATTTCAAGCTCCAGAGTCCAAAAATGTGAAAATCTTGGAGGGGCATTTTTTGACCAATTGCCGTATTTTCCCTCTGTTATATATAATGGAGCCATAAGTAAAATGTTAAAAGATGTGATTAATTTGATATTCAGATAAGGATTTAAAATTAATGCTTAATTTTTTGTAAGAAATCAATAAATATATTATGATTTTTAATGTAGATAAAATAAATATCAATTTATAAAAGATTTGGAAATTGTATGTTATTTTACTCAATTTTAAGAATAAATGATAAAAATGCTTTTTATATAGTTATTATATAAAAAGCGTTTTTATCATTTCCTCTTATCATTTTATATTATATAAAAACGCTTTTTATATAAAGTTACATATATAAAAATGCTTTTTATATATGTAACTTTTTTAAATTAAATCTTTCAGGANTGGCAAAAAACTTAATTTTGAGGTTAGGGATGGGTTTTATAAAAAATTGTAAATGCTAATAATGAATAAAATCATCATTAAGTTCAACCTTACTCAAGATGTGACATACAACTCTCCTTTATCTCCTCACTCCATTGACCTTTCACCAAATCACTAAAATTTAATAGCATCAATCACCTCAATACACAAATCTCCCTGCAGAATTTCAGATAAAAAGCACAGGATAAAAAGCACAGGAGTTATTAAGATTCAAAGAGAGTGAACAAAATTGTGCCCCATACATACACAAAAAGAAAAACCAATTTTTTTTGCATTTCTCAACATTTCAAGCTCCAGAGTCCAAAAATGTGAAAATCTTGGAGGGGCATTTTTTGACCAATTGCCGTATTTTCCCTCTGTTATATATAATGGAGCCATAAGTAAAATGTTAAAAGATGTGATTAATTTGATATTCAGATAAGGATTTAAAATTAATGCTTAATTTTTTGTAAGAAATCAATAAATATATTATGATTTTTAATGTAGATAAAATAAATATCAATTTATAAAAGATTTGGAAATTGTATGTTATTTTACTCAATTTTAAGAATAAATGATAAAAATGCTTTTTATATAGTTATTATATAAAAAGCGTTTTTATCATTTCCTCTTATCATTTTATATTATATAAAAACGCTTTTTATATAAAGTTACATATATAAAAATGCTTTTTATATATGTAACTTTTTTAAATTAAATCTTTCAGGATGTGTCCGATTTGGTCAGCCAGGAACTATAACGTGTGCTGTGTGTCGTCAAGTCAAGTATTATTCACATGTTCAAAGAAGGTTTAGACAATTTAGTTGTGAGCCATGTGGAAAGTTTTTTGCACGTTTTGTGAGGAATCCAAGGCATTATTTTTGCCCTAATGGAGGTTAGTGAATCAATTTATCATTTTGACTGACTGACTTCATTACTTACAAACTCAGAATAATGGAAGTATAATGCTTGATAAGTTTCTATTTATATCTAATACAATAATAAAAGTAATTAAATTGGTTGTTTTCATAAAATGAAATACAATAATTCATAACATCAAAACTGTCATTAAAAAATTAAAATTAGAATTATATTAATTATTTGTTAGCTGAAATTCAGTAACTAATAACCAATTAATTGAAATGGCTGATTNATATATTTACTGATTTTAAGTTGAACTACTCAATAATGTAAAGTTTGATTGTTTAACTACTCAGAACTGGGTGTGTGTTAATAAACACTACACATCCAGCAAGAAGAAACTATAAGAAAGCAAAAATTTTCATCCATGTTTAATGGGCATCAATGGGTATTGTTAGACCGATGATGCTCATTAAACAAGAATGAAAACATTTGCTTTCTTATAGTTTCTTCTTGCTGGATATTGGTTATATGTGTAGTATTTATTAATAGCTTGATTGTTATTCAAAAAATACAACAAAACAAATTGTAAATTTTGTATGAAATTATATATAGTAGAACATACAGCAGTTTGCAGTGATTTCATTTTACTTTGTGTTTACAGGAGAGGTCACACCTGATGAGAATCAGATTTGGTGAAGTTATGCCACAAAATAAGTCATACTGAAAGATGATCATAAGGCAATGGCCACTCTTTCATGAGAAAATACCATTTGAATTTTATGAAATTTCTTAGTTTAAATAGCAGAAATTTGAATTTTCATTAGCAGAATTAGATGGCAGTGTGGAAATGGCCATAAACTAATGAATTGTGGATCATGTCGTGTAATATTTTTTACATTTTGTTTTTCTCTCTTCAGTTTCCATTATTAAAAAACTTTAAAACACAAAATTTTAATTTTTATCTGAGTTTTTTGAATTATTTATTTCCATTCTTTGTAAAATTCAAATGGCATTTTCTTGTAAAGCAATGCCACCTACTCTAAAGGCATTCAATCATATTTCAATATGATCAGTTCTGCGATAAAATCTCAGCCAAGTATGTTTCCTATCAGCTGTGATATCTCCTTGCAAGTATGAGTTGTAAACATTTAGCTTTCACTTGTATAAAGAACTGTCAAATGGTCCTTTTATATAAGTCAAAGAGTATCTGTTTTATTATAAATGAAAATGTTAAACTGATTTAGATTTAGGCATTGACATTTAGGATCTTTCATAAATAATGAATAAATTAATCACAAATTCTGACAATAAAAATGAAATTTTTATGTAGACATGTTTTGTTTTATTGTTAGTCCTATTTTATTGAATATTCAAGTTTCTTGGAAAGAATTAATTGAAATGGCTGATTAGCAATTATTAAAAATGAGTAAGTAAAAAGATTGATATATTAAGAGATTTCTTAATATGTTGTTGAAAATTTTGGATTTAAACTTTACATATTACTATTAGCAATTTACTGTTTCATAAATTTGTCATTTTTATCTATGAGGAATACAAAAGAGGGAAAAATTGATACTGATTAAATATAAAAAAAGTTTTGAAAATTGTTTCTTGTATTCTGTTCTTTTAGAATTAAATTAATGACTGAATGTCATTAATTTAATTCTAAAAGAACAGAATATAATAGAAACTTGGAAATACTAGAAACTAGAAATATACTAGTTTCTAGAAATATCTATAAATTTCTAGAAATATACTAGAAATTTGGAAATACTAGAAACTTTTATGTAATAATTACTTTTTTAAATTAATTTATAAATTAAAAGTAATTCTTATATACATTTAAAAACTTCAAATATAAAATTTTTGTTAATGCTTTTAATGAAAGTTGTTAAAAATTTTTTAAAAATACATCATTTGGAGTTGAATATTTTATTCATAATACTGTATCATATTGCATCTACTGAGAAAGCTTATTTTTATTATTGAGAATTGGAATGATTAATAAATTCCATTTTTATATTGTATAGTATATTGGTTCAACAGAGCCAGTTTGTTACCTGGGAGGGGAACAATTGAGATTGGTTACATCAAAAGCAGGAAGTAAATAGAGATATACCAAAAATTAGTAATAATTAGTCTGTTTGAAATAGAATAATGCTAACTCTGATTTTATTTATGAGCAAAAAAGAAAAACATTAATGAAATTAATTTTTCAGATACTTTCAACACAATAAAAAATTGAATAATATGAAATAGCAGCAGTAGTAGTTGTTTTTATTCATTTTAAGGTAGGAATTATAATAGGAAAGATATGTACTGATATCTTTATAATCATTATAATCAAAAACTAAATGATAAACATCCATTAAGTGAAGAATTAAGTCATGATTTGGTTCAGAAGTAATTAGTAAAGTTTTGATATATTAACATTTTCTGGTCTACAGATGAGTCTCACTTATGCAGTTTGTTGGATTGGCTGCATTTTAATTGGATAATCTTGTATAGAGTTATTAACATTTTATAGTTAATATGGTCAGAAGATATTAATATTCAAAATATTTGTAAGCAAATGAAAAAATTGATGCTTCAAAAAGTTTTCACTGAATTGTAAACCAGTTTGGAATATCTGTTTGTTTGTTTGATGACTGTTGATCAAGTTGAGAAGGCATTTTCACTGTTAATGTCTTTTGGCATTTACTATTTGTATTTTAAGAGACCAGAAATATTTGTTGAGATTTGAAAATCACTGAAGTAAAAAATGTCATTGGTGTAATGATTATTTAGAATTGACATTCATTGTGTGTCAATGTAAGAACTTGATTTTTGAGCAAAAAAATTTAGATTAGATAAAATATTTTTAAATGATATTGCTGATAATTACAGTTTCTAGTTTGGTTCATAAAGCAAACTGGAAATGATCATATGATATAATTTTTTGCAAACATTTATAACTGTAAAACTTTGTATAGTAGTATATATAAATGAGATATAAATGAAGATGTTTGTTTGTTTGCTATACACTCTTAGGCCATTCTACCAATTGCTATGAAACTTGATAGTTACATTCAAATACTTCTAATGGATCATGTCATACATTGATTGCATTTCTATAAATCAATCAATTTTTATTTACATTCAATTTTCTGAGTTACACATAGCCCCTTCTATTGGCAAAAAGTTGACAAAATAATTAACTAAATATAATTCTTACAAAAAAAAAAAAAGAGAATTCATATAGTTTAAAAATTATGTATTGTATTCACTGAATTACTGCAACAATGATATAGTGCAAAATAGATGCACCATTATGTCATTACTACAACAGGTAGCACATAGCACTTGCCTGTGTGGAGTGTAGTAGTGTNGAAAAAAAAAACTGATAAAAATAGAAGAAACATTCACTAATATCAAAGAAAATAATCTTAAAATTTTAAGAAATTCTGTACCGTCTTAATGGTACCAAGTTTATCGACAAAGTAACAAACAAACAAACAAAGATACTACTGCATTAAGACAACTAAGTTAAACTAAATGAAAAATTTTGATTGCTTTAGTCTAGCAATGCTTTGTTTGTTAAAGAAATATCTAACAATATCACATTCTAATATAAACAAAAATAACTGGAAACGTAATGTAAATAAAAGATAACATTAAATATCTTAAATGAAAATTTCCTTAAGTTTAATATGTTACACCACATTTAAGCATAAGAAATAACTTTATATTTATTCCAACTTTAACTCAAACATATAATACTACCATATTTTAAATTTGAGATTGACAATAATATCAAAATATTTTCAAAAATTAATTACTTTTATAAGTTCTTCCAAATTGAATGAATAATAAATGAGAGTATTTTATATCTTTAAATGTGTATTTAATTTTAAAAAATATATATTATATTCACTGAATTACTGCAACAATGATATAGTGCAAAATAGATGCACCATTATGTCATTACTACAACAGGTAGCACATAGCACTTGCCTGTGTGGAGTGTAGTAGTGTTTTGCCTCTGTAAATCATACTTTTCCTGTTAGCAATAGAGTTTTGCTGGTTATGTATGTAACTCTGCTCAGGGGAAAATTTTGTATTGAAATAACATGACTTACAGTAAAAATTGAAAATTCATATATATGTTACTCTGGTCCTTTTCTCTTACGATATCTATCTCCGGCCTCAACTTTCATCTATAAAACTCTGTTCTCAAGACTAAGGAAGGTCAGAGATGGATGGATGATTGGGGATTCATAGTTCTGCAAATTGCAGCCCAATAAGTATACTCCAGTAACTGAGTGGATAAAACCATCATACATTGGTAGTTGGTTGTGGGTTCACGCATGGCCATTGGACTGGCCATGTGGAGTTTTCTGGGTTTTTTTTTTTTTTTTTTTTTTTTTTTGTGTTAGTAACATTTCAGTTGGGGCCAACTTTACATAAACATCTTTTCGGGATGCATCCTCCTTGGCAGATTGTTCATGTGTTGCATTGCCTTAACCAAATAAACCAAACTAATTCTACTGAGTGATTATTTATTGTGACATGGTCACAATGCTGGGCTTCAATTTTTTGTTACAATGTTCTCAATTCTTTTTAGTGGTGGTCCTGCCCCTGCACATCATACTTTTCCTGTCAGCAATAGAGCTGTGTCGACTGACCTATAGTTGAGTCACCTATCTAACTCTATTTGGGGGAACTTTTGAATTGAAGTAACGTGACTTCTGATCCAAACTGGAAGTTCATATATAGTTAATCTGGATTTCCTTCTCTAAGCTTTCCGTATTTGGCCTCGATTTTCATTTATCTATCAACTTTCTTAAGATTAAAGAAGGACAGACAGTCAGAGGGAGGACAGTGGAAATTTATAGGTTTATAGCTTTTTCAAATTACAGCTCAATAATTTTTCTATAAAACATGATATTTACAATAACATACTTCCCAGTAGTTTATATGATCTGTTGCAAAAATATAAACACTTTATTATCACATGAAAGCAATTATTCTTGCATTATTACAAGATTTTATTTATTTTAAAAAGTTCTGTATCAAGTCTTTTGGTCATTAAGGTCAACTTTAATCACATACAGGGCCATCATAACCTGTCTAACACATGCAATTTTTCAAATTTTAATATACACCAGTATTAATTAGTAGTTGTTGACCATCCTCTCTTTTGGGAGACAGTCAATGACTACTTTTGGTCAAATTACTTAGAATCCCTTCTTCAACACTCCCTTCCTCTTATTGGACCCATTAGTATGGTGGCATTCGAATAGGAAAATTATACAATACACAATATGAGATTATCAGCCTGCTCAAAATAAGGTTTAAGTTGTTTTCGGGGTTGCTGAGTTTAAATATTTGGTTTTTTTTTTTTGGTTGGCATGTTACTGTTTGCTATTTGGCTGTGAATGGCACAAGTTCTTAAAGTTAACATTAGGAAAAAATATCATATCTGAAAAAATTTTAAATATTATATTTTCAATTGGTACTTGACTAATTTCATACCGTCTGAGTATTGCGATAAATGCGACAATAGTAGGATAAAATAACCAAACTCTTTATATTGAAAACTCTTTTTGTTTTAATGTTTGTATAGTATAGTATTTCACTTGTGCAACTACAAAGGTTATCTTAGGTAAGAGTTTATCACACTGAGTGACCAATCTAACACATTTTAAAACTTCTTTATTCGTCTACTGTACACAATTTAAAGAATTTTTAAATTGTATCAGATTGGGCACTTGGTTTGATAAACTCTCTTTTAAGATAACTTTTGTAATTATAAATCAAATACTATAATGTAATATAATAGAAGGATTAGAAGTATGAAATAATCTAATAATCTTAATCTTTGCCTTTGTTATTTTTTGCCAGGACAAGACCAGGCTCATCTGCTAGTTTATTATAAAACTTCATAAAATTAAGTTGGTTATTTTTGTCCTTAAGTGATTGTTATTAAAAAATTAACTTTATTTATTATTGTCTTAATTTGATTTTGAGGAAATTTCCTCAATTGTTCTTACTTTTGAAATTGTATATTTGTATTTGCATTTATTGTAGTATTTGTATTACTACAATAAATACAAATACAAAAATACAAATTTGTATAATTTACTTGGTTATTTGATAAATAAGTTTTTTAAAATATTTGGCTTCAGAGAAATTATTTCATTTTTATTTATTTCTATCAAATTTACTGTTAAAAAATATCAAATTACTGGTACCAATTTTCTTTACCAATGCATTTTTAACTGCAACTATAATGCAATTCCTATACTCTGTAGTTTACTCTGGCTCAAAGTGATGAATCCATGTTTCATTACCAATGATGGTTCTGTCTTTATAAAGTATTACATTTTTTCCATAATAATCTAAATATTTTTGACAGATACATTTGTTTATACAACATTTTAGGTTGCTTTCAGCAGACATTATTAAACCCAAGTTGGTTATGAATGATTTTATAGGCAGAACCATGACTAATTTGCAGACAATTTGCCAGTTTGTTAATAGTCACTTGTCTGTCTGAGAGAATCATATGTGCATACTCAAGATTGTACTTGTTTGTGGCTGTGGAATTGTACATAAGAGTTATGTGACCATTTTTGAATTTTTCAATCCATTCATAAACACTGTTGCAACAAACTACTGTTCTCATATTGTGCTGAAGTCTTTGATGGATTATGGCCTCTGATACATTTAACCATTAAAACTGGATCACAAATGCAGGTTCTTCACTTAGCGTGATTTTGAGGTGACTCAGTTGCCTTTATCAATGCTCATGTGCAGTAAAATTTTCATCTGGTTAGAATTGCATTGAAGTACTTTGACAGAATACTGGGTCAATGTTTATTTTTGCATTATGATTCTGTTACAGTCAATTAGCATTCAGCATCCACAATTTCAAATTTTGCACATCATATTTCTACCCATTATCCTTAACACTACATACAGCATAGTGTTGTAATTTCAAAAAAATGCAAAAATAAAAAAAATAAATAAATACTAGATGGTTTGATATTGCTGTTGAAAAACTATTTGTGGATATCAGATGCCATCCTATTCTTTTACAAAAAAAGGACTCAAATTATAGAAATGAGAATTTAAAAATAGAAGTACAGTGGTATCTCGGTATATGTTTGCTTTAGAATATGTCCAATTCGGAATATGTCCTGTTTGGACGAAACAAATTTTGCTCGGTATACGACTTAATTCAATTATACGCGCCATCTATGAACAAGTAGCACTATTGGTGTACTAGACCAGACTAGACGTTCGCGGTGCCACAGTTTATAACTTTGTTAAATTTCTTCTGATTTTAATTTGTAAGTAAAATTTTATTATTTTTATTAATCATGAATTGCAAAAAGGCAAATGAAAAGCAACAGAAAACTAAAAAAAATGACTAGAATCACAATGGAACTGATAAAAGAGATTGTTGAGGAATATGAAGGTGGTACACGTGTTCGAGATTTAACTGTTGCATACAGTATTCCGAGAATGACGATATCGACAATCGCAAAAAATAAAGACATTATTAAATCTGCTAACATTGGGAAAGGAGTTAAATCAATTTCTAAACAGAGATCGAAGACATTAGATCATGTTGAGAAATTGCTTTTGCTTTGGATAACTGAAAAACAGTGTGCTGGCGACATCGTATCGGAAGCAATTATTTGCGAGAATGCTAAAAAGATACATGCTGATCTCATGAAAAATCAAGCAGGAACTAGCCAGGAAGCGAGGTGTTTAAAGCCAGCCATTTTTTTTCATGAGAACGGATTAATCATTTTTACATTACTTCTTATGGGAAAGGTTGGTTTGGTATATGTCCTATTCGGTATAAGTCCAAACATTAGGAACGGATTAAGGTCGTATACCGAGGTTCCACTGTATGGTTGTTTGAACTGATTTAAAAAAATTTTTTTAAATTACGTGTACAATGTGGCAACATTCTATAAATAAAACAGTTATTTTCGTTTGACTTTGCCTGATGAAGGCTGATTAACGAGTAGACGAAAATGTTCGAATGTTGAATTTGGTCGTTTTGCTGGAAATTTGGCATTTAGATGCGAGTCTTTATATATTGTTTCAGTTTACTGTTGTGGTTTTTTATATAAGAAGTATGGAAGTGAATGACTTTAATAGTAGTAGGTCAGGTAAGACATTAGTGTTAAATGTTGAAAAATTAAATACAAAATTAAATAGGAAAATGTAAAATGTCATTTTAAATTGAAAGTTTTGTTGCCATTTTAAAAAATTTTCATAATTCATTGAAAATTGCCTTCCATTTCATGTAAAGTGTATAGGCATGTAGGGCAGCAATTGCATCATTCTATAAATCAGATAATGGTGATGCAATTATGTTAAGTGATGCATGATAATTGCTCTTTTTCAGTGTGCACAGAAATTGGTTTTTGGGGAAAAAAATCTCTTGTTAAGCAAACTATCATAAATCTTTAAATTATATAATACGTACAAAATAAAAATTGGCACTCAAATAAAGCATGTCATAAAGAAAAGATTTAGTTCTCATGGTAAGGGGAGAATTCATAAATATGAAAAGCTGTAAAGTGGAAAACTATTATATAGACTTTTTTGCATTTCACATACTGTATTTGGTTTAATATAGTTTTTGGATTACAGTAAATTTCAAAATGTTAGGAAGTAGTAATAATTTTTTAATATGTATGTATAATTTTTCAGGAACATGTGTTATTGCATCAACTGGTTCAGATTCTTCTGAAAATAAATGGGTTACTCCAAGTTCACGTTGTAAAGCATGTTGGTTAAAAATATGCCTAGAGAAATTTGTTGTACCTTCTCATTTACAAGAACAACTTGTAGATTTTTTTCCAACATTAGGTAAGTTATAAAACTATGTATTTTATTTAATTTCTTGCAGTAATTAATGTTAATTACTAGTATTACTAGTTAATTAGAAGTATTATCCCACTATTTACACATTCTATAAATCAGTTGACTATATGCTATTTTTTTAAACTTAAATGTTCTAGCTTTAAATTTTCCAAATTATAGTAAAAAGATTCAATAACAGCTTCATTCATCTAGAGCCTTTTTTGTTTCCAGTATTGTATAATGATAATAAAATGTTTAAAGACAAATGTTTTTTGATCTAGTCACGATCTTTCTCAGGTTTACATGAAATGGAATGACTTTTGGAATGTTAACGTATTTCAAAAAAATGAAACTTTTTGAATACTTAAATACAAAAGTTGCACAATACCAACATAACTACAGAAAAAGTACAAAAAAAAAGCAAATAACTTTTAAAATATTAAAAAAACCAATGTATTTGGTATATTATCACAATGATGCAATCACATTATGTGCTTGTGTCATTGTTCTCATATATATATAACACTATATGTACATATAGTGTTTTCCAAGCATATGACAGGCATTGATTCTTTTAAAGTTGATACAATGGCTCTTGTTCTCTGATTTAAAAATATCTATTGCCTCCAGGGTTTTTATGTACTCAGGATGACTAGTTGTTTTGATTATAGTTCCCTCATTGAGTAGGTGCTTAAATGGCCAGGGTGATGCTGTTTTTGTTTTTATTTATATCATATTTGTGTTCTGTTATTCTAATTTTGAGCAAATGTAAGGTTGAGCCTGTATATTCCAATATTCCAAGTTGTTGCCAAATCTATCATCTCTCACAGGAACCTTATAAATCCCTGGAATTCTGAGCAAGTTGTTACAATCCTTTCCATTTTTAAAGATGTTAAAGATGATACAGTTGCATCTGAATGTTAATTGTATACCTGTGTTTTGCTATTTCTTCATATATTGGTAGCATGTTGTGATGGTAATCTACAGTATGTTGTGTGTTCGTGTGGTGTGCATACTCACAGGGAGTATTAGCATTCATGGGGTGTATGTTGTTAGAGAGGGTCCGGGCTATATTTCAAATCAAGTTCTTTTGGTTTCCACGAGTAATAGGTACCCACTTTAGGTATTTGAGCTCTTCTAGTGTACACATTGTACTGATTACACAGATAAAGGCTTTTTTAGTGAGGGTCCTGAATGCCTCATTTTTATATACGTAAGGGTCGTAGGAGTTTGCTGCTATAAATAATGGAATGTGTTTGTAATAAACATTGGTGTGTACCTGGTTATTTTTGATGTTTACCAGTAGATCTAGAAAATATACACTCATATTGCTGGATTGATCTAATTATATATTGAGGCCATATTTTATTATCATTAAACAGTGTTGGAAACAAAAAAAAGGTTCTAGTTGAATGTTTTTTTTTTTTTTTTAGTAGTATTACTTTTCAGTCTCATTTGTTGTGAAGTTATTTCTTAGGTCTACAATTTTTGAAAATTGGAACCAAATAAATATAAAATAAGGAAATAATAAACATAATATAAATGACCAAAATTATTATTACTTTTTAAAGTTTGCTGTTTATTTGCTCAATTCTTTTTTGGATGAGTTTTGATTGACACCTTCATTAGCATGACATTCTCCAGGTTTAATCACAATACAATCATATTTTGGAACTCGTCACCATTTTCTGACATGGTGATGAGTTCTGAAATATGGTTTTGCAATAAAACAAATTTCTTTTGCAAATATTATCAAAATAATGAAATCAAAATGTAAAAAATATTAAAAGAAATTGAATAAAACTTATTTATACAGGGTGGCACAGTGTTTATATGTCATATTAAAACATTGTAAAGTACCATATTATTTTTCCGCCCTCTACAACGATTATCGACATGACTGTGTGCCGGAAATAGCTGTTACCTAACGGGTACTTTACGCGAATTCGCATTAACATGCCAGGCTTGGATTTTTAGCGTGCACCGAAGCGTACACAAGTTTGTCAATAACAAAATCAAATATTTAATAAATAATTCTAATAATAACTATTTACAAAATTTAGTAAAAATCAAACAACAATTTATTCAATGAAAATCAATAAGAATCAACCCGACAAAACTCAAATCAATCTAGTTTCTAACTTAAATCTATTCCCCTTTGGAATTCGACAAAATTCAAAGACTTAACTTATATACAATAATTCTTATGAATTAAAGATCCTAATCGTCACCTCAATATACTAGGAACCTATTTCCTCAACTCTCAAGACTTTCTCTATTCGTCGATCCACAAATCGAATAACTTCAAAATCGCCTTGGAACTATTTGATCCTATCGGACACCTCTCTCGTTCACTGCTACGAAGCTCACCAAGCTCGTTGCTATCAGAAGCTCACCTCGTCCATCTTCACTTGAGGTTCGGTCTTTATACTGTGAGGTGACGTCACAATTCTGAATGCGATCACTCCCCTCATTTACATACTTATTTGCTAACAATAAACTTTTTCTATTTGTCTGGCAGCCTATTTTCCGACAATACTCGCTAACCTTTTACATTATCCTTTTTGACAATTTTCGGGATGTTTTTATTCTTTAAGGTTTAGCGAGTCCCTAAGTTGTGCTTGTAGGGTCTCCCCCCTTTTCTTGGTGCGGACTTACTTTTTTCCGCTCGGGAGCGCAAGGATGCGCGAGTTTTTTCCTACAGCGCTTTTCTCTCGGTGAGTTGGTTTCTCTTCTATTTTTAAGTTTCTAAGGTAAATGGTGAGGAAACCTTCGTCCTAACAAAACATAAGCCCCAAACAAAATATAATAAAAAGCAAAAATAAAAGTAAATAAAAATAATGCTCGGACTTGGTTCCTTACAACATGCATTGTGCTCTTCAATGTAAAGTAACTTTATTTAGAATTGTGATAAATGAGATATAAATGTTTGCCATTTGTCACATTATCAACAAAATAATCTCTTTCGATTTCCCTCCTTTTCAGTTGATGTACTTGTGCTTGTTTAATTACATATTCCATGACAGGCACAAAGTGTGACAGAATTTCATTTCTAATCCTCTGTTTTAATCTGAAAACAAAAGATTAGGATTGATAAAGTCAAGGAATCCTTGACTTTATCAATCCTAATCTTTTGTCTTTAACCTTGATCTACTCCCTTGACTCCTGCCTTGTTTTTTTTTTTCTGATAATAAATAAATAAATCTGATGAGCCAGTATCAATCCATACACCATTTTCTTAGAGGTGATATACATACAATGTGCAAATTTACAAAAGTATGAACTGTCATATACATAACCCATTGGATTAATAATTTTTAATAAATTATTTTCAATCAACTCCCCAAAATGCCTTATCAACCCCATGGGGTTAAATATCTACCACTTAGGGATCCCTAATTTAAAATAATGCATTTTAGGTAACGATATTTTTTATTCTGTGTTTTTAATAGAAAAAATCTCTTCATTAATGTCATTCAAAGTTAAATGGAATCTAACTATCATAGTTTAAATTGATCTTGATCAACTATGAAACATTTCTTATCATCAAATATTTTATCTATATCCAACATAATTAATCAGAATATTTTATTTCTTATATATTTGTTTAAGAGTATTAACAAATACTTAATTTATATAAATATTTTTGTTTATATTCTTATATCCATGTAAAGCATGTTCTTATTCTTAAAACTGTTTTACATAAAAATTAGTTTTATGAATTGAATAAATTATACATTAAATAATTAAACTGTCTTTCTGCATTAAAATTCTTTAATGTTGAAATTAGCACTTTGATGATAATAGAATTATCACTAGTCTAGTAGTTACATCAGCTCTAGATGCTAAATTGTCTATTAACAAAATGGTAGGTTGTTTACCAGTTTATATTTATTGTTTCTACAAACATGATGTCATATCTCTCTATTCTTTTGTACCAAACTTTGAAACAGTAATATTAGCCAACACACTTCTGAAAAATGGCTTCACAACACAACAGATACTAGATCTATGAGAAACTCTTTTATTAATAACTGAAAATTAATTATTTAAGTGTTAACAATCAAACATATTTAAAAAACAAGGTATACCCATGGGATTCCTTCTTTCAACCATCTTGTCAGAATTAATCATGAAAAACATCAAATTTAAAAATATTGTTAATGTAGAAAACATGTTTACTATGTTAATAAGATGTCATCTATGTACCTAATGTATAGAACTGGAAAGTTCTATATATTAGGTATGTATATCTTATTAGCATGGGATGGATCATACAAAGACCTTTAAAACAGCTCTTGTCCTCCATATATCTATCAATATCATTTACTTTAAAAGAACATTATTGCTTTTCTAGATCTTTTTATCTACAGTATTCTATAATGTATTAGCTACATAGTACACCACAAATTTGATTTATATCCATACATTATCCCTGCTGGTTCATTTCAACCAGTTAAATATATAAATAATGCTATATCTACTCTTATACACAGGCCCTATTTATACCCTTCTTCACAGTATCTTACATGTAAAGAACTGCAGATAATATCTACTGCAGTTCAGAAAGCAAGTTACACACGCTAAATTCAGGCACATCAAAAATCATGTATAAATTTCTCTTTCTTTCCACATCTCTACACAATAGAAATGAAAAATTAATCTTTGTGAACCCATCCATTCTATACTTAGGTCCTATCACATTATGAATTGCAAGAGTTTTTAAAAAATACAGTCTTACCCTTCCAATCAAGCCTCAGCCATCATTACATAGATTACTTTGTAATGACAGGAATATTTTTTCAACATTAGAAAAGTCGGGCATTTATGTAATTCCTGTACAGCAAATAAGCACAAACTTAAGGCTACATTACATAGAGGATACAAACAGAAAACTTACGTGTTGACTGATAGAACATCAGAGGAATATCGAGAACAGCAGACATACTACAGAATTATCAAAAAATGTATTGGATTATGATCTTATGCCTTTATGGGTTGAAACATCATTACTCAAACGAAGTGCAAATCTATCTACATTTGGGAATCATTAACATATCTGCAATAGAACCATATAACAAACCTACTTTAGAAATCCCAAACATATTGATCGCACTATCTAAGCTTTTAAATGAGTATCATCATACATTAAATTACATCATACAAAAAATTAAATTTACATTTTTATATTATTTTTATTCATAAGTATTGTTTTAGTTATATTTTATTCCCAATTTTTGTACTTTACATTATTGATTATTTGTAACATTCTTTTATCCCGCTTTAAAATTGTTATATTTTTAATATTTTTCATTTATATTTACAATCAAATTTTGATATTTACAACTTTAATTGTGTTCTTTTGATAAAACGTTTTTATAACAGTAATTTTAAAACATTCTAATTTAACCTGAAGAAGACATAAATGTGATATTTTAAGTACTAGTTTTTATTAAGGCTAAAGTGATAATTCTGTTATCATCAAAGTGTTAATTTCAACATCATTAAAGAGTTTTAACATGGAAAGACAGTTTAATTATTTAATGTATAAGTATTGGCATAAAGAATATATTTTATTTATTGTAATAAATTCTATTTTCATTTTGTAAAGGCTAACATTAATGTATTAGAAATTCTTTATCAAATTGTACTATTAACTAGTACATGGAAACATAATTCTCCTTTCCTCTCAGACTCCAGGAGAATTATTTTTCCATATACTAGTTATAATATAGTGATAGACAGCACACTAATCATTTGTTACAAAAACTTTTACCATATAAGTGTTAAATTACACACGTATGTCACTAAATTGATGAGCGCTTTCGACGATACACATTTTCATCTTCTTCAGGTCATTAGAAGATATAAGAACTTTTTTTGAATACAAAATTTAAAATATTCCAATCTTAATTAACAATGTTAATTAACAATGTTAATAAAGATTTAAAATTTAAAATATTCCAATCTTAATCAACAATGTTAATTAAGATTGGAATATTTTAAATTTTGTATTCAAAAAAGGTTCTTATATCTTCTAATGACCTGAAGAAGACGAAAATGTGTATCGTCGAAAGCGCTTGTCAATTTAGTGACATACGTGTGTAATTTAACGCTTATATGGTAAAAGTTTTTGTAACATGTACTAGTTAATAGTACAATTTGGTAAAGACAATTTATCTGACTCCATTAGTTTTTTAAATATTTTTATTAGTATTAGAAATTGTTTTTTATTTTAAAATAGAATATACTTTTTAAATAATGAAGTTGAAAAATTTTTAAATGATTCATTTATTTTTATTATATTTTATAGATGCATCAAATGCATCAGATTCAACTGTAAATAATCACATTACAAATCAGGAAGGAACTAAAGAAACTACAAATAAAAGTAAAGGTAATTGTAATTCAGTTCAAGAAACAAATTGTTTGATGCAATCTGAAAAACCAGCACCTGTGGAAATAAAACAAAATTCAAGAGCAGTTTGTCAGAAGAAAATTAAAAGAACAAAATTAGTAACTAAAACAGAAAATCAAAAAGGGAAAAAATGCAGGAAGACAAAAGACAAAAATTTGAAAGGTCAGAAAATTTATTAATTTTGTCAGATTTATATTTAATATTTTTTATTATTGTTGTTTTATATGTTTTCAATACTGTTGCAAATATATTCTCTGATTGTAAAAAGTATTGTTTATTCTTTCTTACTTGGACAATATTAATTTTTCTGTTGTAGTATGTTTTAGTAAATTTCACACAAAGCTAAAAATTATAGTAATTTGTAACATAATAAATTTAAATTATATTTAATATACAAAATTACAAAATTAAAAAAAAATACTTTCCTAGAAAGTGGTAACTGGCATATTGTACTGTGCTAGCTAAGTGTAGAAGTTAGTGCCAAGTGGTTGTTAGTAGGAAGACTTATATTTACTTAATACTAATAAAACTGAATGCGATTGTAAATCTTAATACTACTTAACAGCTAGACAGACAGCTCAAAAAGCAAAAGAACACAATAACAAATTAGACAAGATGAACGACCGACAGAGACAAATGAGCAAGACTCCAAAATTTTTATTTTTATTTTTTTTTATTTTATTTTTTTAAAGTTTTTTTTAAACATTAACTTACTCACTAACTAAACTAACCTACCATAACCTAGGACAAACCTAACCAGAAGACTAAAGCTTACAAATCCTAATCTAATTTAACCTAATCGGAAACCAAGCTAAGAGCCCCTAATCTAACTTACAAACTTAGTTAAGACAATAATAGATGATGATGTAATGTAGAATAAAAATTTACTAAATTGTACAACTGCTTGAGAATGAATGCACTAATATGAATACACAGTACAGATGAAGCAGAGAAAATTGAGACTGGAACCTACTAGCCATCTAATTTAAAAAATTTTAATTTTATTGACTCATGATTTAGATATTTTGTTCTTGTTACAATGAGTGCCAATCAATATTTACAAATATTTTAAATGGAATAAAATAAAGCAGCTCTTTGAATTCTTACATATTAAGTGCACCTAAATTTGAGTCACAATATATTGTATCACAGAGGTACAGAATATGTCTGAACATTCAGACTAGGTTTGAGTGGAAATTAAAGTAGTTCAGAGAAATTTGCAATAGAAAAATAATACTATGGCAGTAACCTCAAAAACATACAATAAAATGAAGTAACATCTCAGCTAAACCTATAGACATTAGTTGGGAAAATTAGCATGTTCAATATCTAACTGTCAGGTTAAAAACAAAAAAATTAGGCAGGCAGATACATTGAGTGTTTAGTGCCATGCACTACAGCAAGGCAGTGTTGCTGTAGTGCATGGCAGTGTTGCTGTAGTGCATGGCACATGTTAAGTGATGAGTCACCAATTGTTCATTAGGTTTCCAGTGGCAAGAGATGGTAGAGAGTTATATTTACTTTGTTTCTGATCAGTACAGTCATCTTGTTATATTTCTGTCTACTTACATGGTTATTTGCTTTCATTAGGAATGAGTCAGTCCAAATCACAGTTTCAATTTTTACAAAACAAGTGAAATGTAACTTTGGAGTTTTATTTCAGTTGTTTTTATTTTTATTCAAACTCTTTTCAACATTACTTAATGGGTGAACTTTTGTCAGTTTGAATTAAAACAAAATATTCACTTGTTTCCCACTAGGAAAATTTGCAAATTAATAAATTGCATTTAAAAACTTTCTGAATTGTCTTGATTAAATAAGTAAATAGAAGAAATCATTTTATAAATATATTTTCCTTTTATCTTATTTTTTTGTGGGTATATTTCAATGCTAATATTTTTTATTTTATAAAAATTTTAAAACATCATAAAAATATGATCATGTTTTCAAAAAGAAAAATAATGAAAAAGTTGATCAAAAATTTTTAACAAATTATATTTCTGCAAAAAAATTGATGCATTTCTAAAATAATTTTTCAGAGAAAATTATATGGCCATTATTGTCATAAAGAAATCTTGCATTTTTGAATGTTAAAAAAATCATTAATTAGTGCCCCACATTAAAAAATAAAATTATTCATTTATTAGTGATGATGCCTGTCATCTTTGACTTCAGTTTTATTTTAATGAAAATAAACACACAGAACATAGCACATCCAGTTTATAATTGTATGTGCTATCCTATGCTATGGTATAGTACATGTTTAAATTAAAGCATTCTTTTAATTTAAAAACTTTTACATTAATTTATCAGTTTAGTGTTGTGCTGGCAAATTATATTGTAGACCTATTTAATTAGAATATTTCAAACCACAGTGGTGCTTTATACTTCAAATTTAAAACAATCCACAAGGCCATTCAAATTCTGACTCATTTGAAGTCTGAATCAATTTTTTCCATTAGAAATAATGGAAAGTTAATTAATCCATTTCCAGATCCTAAACAATACCCATTTCAATAAACTTAAAATAACATCCACATATAATTTAAGATCAAAATAACACAATTAAATGTTTTAATAATAAATTAATAGATGAAAACAATAAATAAAATATGTAAACAACATACAATAAAATGAAAATTGCATTTATTGGTTGCACACTTGACTTTGTCATCTTAAACATGGCTCTCAGATGCACCATGTGTGTACTGCTTTAATGCTTTACAGTAAGTTCCTTTTCATCTCAATTGTCAATATTACAACTTTCCTCTTATGCTTTGTTGCTTCCACATACTTCTCTGATGCTTTGATTAATAAGTAAAGGTTATATTGGATTGAATCATGTTTTTGCATATTTTAATTAAATAGCCGTTATTACTTAACATAGATATGTGATTTAATTATAACAATTATAAAATTTAATACATTATTATAATGTGAGATTATATTCTTTGTTTAGAAGCTTATTTTAAACTTTTTATTTCACTTTTTGTTTGAATAAAATCAAGTTGAAATGTCTTCTGATGAAAAGCATATCAGTCATATTATGCTTTGAGTACCAGAAAGGCTACAATACCATACAAACAGTAAAAATAATTTGTAATGTGTATGGGGAAGATGCTCCTGAACTTCAAATATGTCAAATGTGATTTGAATGATTCTATTCATCTATTCAGGAAATTTTGAACTAAAGGATACAAAATGTACAGGTTGCCCAAAAGCTGTTGACAAAATCTTGCGGGAAGAAAATGTTAAAAATGAACAAATAATACACAATATATGTAATCAAACACTCCAAAAATTAAGCAAAAAAAGCACTGAAAATGTGAGTGTAATGCAAGAGGAAGAGATGACTTTGGTACGTGACAGATTGCATTTACATTTCAAATGCATTTTCTAATGTGCACACAGTTTGAACTTCAAAGCAAATTTTTGTCTAATTTAGCATTTGAATCTTAAGTGTTTTAAGTTAGTCATTCAAACTACAAGATACCACTATATATATTTATTATTAATCTCTTCATAAAATGGTTTTTTTTTTAGTGTTAATGTTCAAAAGTAGCCCTATTTTATTATTTATAAGAGTAAATTTGAATTTTACAAACTAAAAAATGATAATTCATTGATTCATTCATAAATTTTTCTATTTTGTATGATAGTGTGCAACAATTTTCAGGAAAATTTTGTATATAAAATTTATATTCTGGGAAAATTTTTGGTCCAAAAATATTCTGCACCTTTGTTGTAACATACTTTAAAAATTATTACTATATATTTTGTATTATTGTTTAAATGTATAATTAGTTTTTTAAATACAATTGTAGTTCAGTAATTTAATTAAGGGCATGCAAACTAAAAATTCAAAATACAAAAATGAATTTATTTTGAAAATTGTGATGGTTTCAAAATGAACAATTCATGTAAAATGAATTAAGGTAAACTTACTGTATTTGAGTAATTGTCACTTTAACAAAATCATATCTACTTCATAGTCTGCTACTTTTCAAACTTTTGTTTTTCCACCTTTCAAAAAGTTTTAGAAGTTTTCAGTTGTAAATTGGCAGCGCTTGTTCTGAAATCTTTTGCAAAGTTCTGTTAGTGGTGGAATTGGCCTCTCATCCTCCATCATACATTTTCAGCTTAATTGGTATCAAAACTACAGGTATACCTTGACTTACGTCGTTCCCGATTATACGTCGTTTGTCAAAAAAGTGTATGGAAAAATAAAAATCAAGTTTAAGTCATTTTATTCGACTTTATGTCTGTCCGCCACAGATATTGAAGTCGTAATATCAATAGAAAAGTGTTTAAAGCGCACAAAATTATATTAAAATATATACATTTACAAGTATGCACTATATTTACAGTACATTCATTCGTAAATTTAGATTACTTTTTTCTGTACTATATTAAAAACTAAAATTTATTTGTTTGTAAGCTTAAAATAGATCCTTATTAACCATATATTATTAAAAATGCATTAGTAAATAAAATACAAAACCAGGAATGGTAATTTATGGTTTAGCCTAGTGACAAGTAAATTTGACTTACGTTGTTTTTTGACTTATGTCACCTCTCCTGGAACCAATTACCGATGTAAGGCAAGGTATACCTGTATTTGATTTGTCTCAGTTGGCTTACATTAGGCACATTGTTTTTACCGGGAAACCACTGTATCCCATGTTGGTCAAAGGCAGCAGTTTTGTCTTTAGCAAGTGGGATGTTACCATATCATGTTTCTGTCATACATAACTTGTAGTTTCCATTTTGATAGCACTTCTGTGCTATCCAAATGGAAACTAAGAATGGGATAACTGTCTTTTTTTTAATGCACTTTGTAGTATACATCGATATCTCCATGTTAATGCAAAATTGAAACTGTTTTATGAAGGCTTGAGACTGCCTGTGAGAACTTTTGGCTACTACACCAAAACTATCACTGGAAATTTTTTAAGATGCTTGATTTCCCTTCTGGTATAATAATCCTATTTTTCACAGTAAAAACTTTTTATTTTTTTGCATGTTCAGAGATTTTTCATTAATAACATATAAATAAACAAATGTTTTATTGTAATTGATATATTTGCATAATTTAAAAGTAGAAACTCAGTAATTGAAATAACATTGTTGTTGGTTTTTTTATTACAAAGATACTGGAAGTAAAATTGTTTTTTGATTTTATTTTTTAAATAAAGAATTAAATTGACAGTGATAAGTTTATTTTATATTATCAAGAATTTTTAAAATTATATATATATATATTTTAGATAATACAAGATGCATAAGACGAGGTCCAAGAATCAAACATGTTTGTCGAAGAGCTGCTGTAGTATTAGGTATTCCAAAAGCAACATTTCCTACATCAAAAGAAAAGAATGTTAATCAAAATCAGAATACCTCATTAGAGCAGAAACAAACCAATGTAGAAAGTGAATCAGAGAAACGTAAGTAATACTAACAATTTTTTTGTAATGTCAGTTGCAAAATGTAATAACAGCTACTGAAGTTACAATAGTAGTGATTTATTTACGTTGTTTATAAGATCTGCATAAAAGACAATTTTATGAAATGAATTGGAGTAACTGTGTTGTGATATATTGTCAAATTATGTGAAATGATAAAACCAAATAGATCAGCGGTTCCCAACCATTTTTCATTAGTGTACTCCCGTGGCATTTCCAACTTCCCAACGAGCAATGCATGTGCAAACCCACCTGTTTATAGAGAGTGTCACCATTTTGAATTTAATTTTTAACTCAGTTCTCGGTCCCCTGAGTCTGGTTGTTTTATGCGCACATGATTTGTGCACCTAATACTTTGTGCCAAATTGCAACTATTGACAGGTACTCTAAGCTTACACTGCAGGCAGTAGGATTTTATAAACAAGACATAGTCTTGTCAATAAAAAGTTAATAAAAATACTGAATAAATAATGAAAAAACTTAGTTTGTAGAGAAAATCTGGAGAAACTAGCTGTCTTTTCCTTGTTAACAATAAAAAATACTTTTTATAAACAAAAGAATGCTTTTTCAAACAACATGTGGGGATATTGTTGAGAGATGATAATAACGGTAACACACCCCACCATCAAAAGTCTGTAGTGTAATCACTAATCACACATAATGGTATCCCCACTACCATTGACCGACTGCACAACATTTATTGATCTGTTGCATTGTACAATTGGCAGCATAAGTTTTTATTTCTATTTTTCATTTTGAAATGTATAATAAAGTTTATGATTGTTGCAAAGAACATTTTTTACCTACTAATTTTTTAATACTATTAATTTGTGATACATAATATATTAATTTTTCTGCCATAATAATTAACTTGTTTCTGTACCCTTAAACAACCTATCGCATACCCCGGGTTGGTAATCGCTGAAATAGATGATAAACATCATCTATTCTCACAAATTTACAAATTGTTCATAAGGTAGATAAATTTGGAATATTTTGAAGTCAAAAAAGTTCTCATTTTTGTCTGACATTAGTAGTTGTCTTTTTATTCATCACATTTTATTATTTTATATTTTAGAAATTTTCTATTTTTACTTTTCTGATTTTTGTTTGTATTGATAGTAAACTTGCTCAAAAGAATTTTTTGAATATCAACATATGCCAATTGCCAAGCATAAAAAAAACAAATATCCATATTTCAATTGAATTATCATTACAGATAAGGTATAATTGACCGCTATCTTTTGTAGTTGGAGGGAATAAAAATTGGAAGATGAATAGAGAATGTTAGGGAAAGAATGTTTTTATTGTTTAAAACAAAAAAATATTTTTATTATGTATGTTGTAAATGCACTGAAGACTGTAGTTATCAATGAATTATGGAATTACAATATGAGACTAAAAAATTTATTGTAAAACAGGAACTAACATGGCAAGATTTTTTGAAAGAATTTGAATTTAAGTTAGTAACAATTATCAAGAAAAAAATAGTAACTTTTTTGGGCAAAAATGAAAATTATTGTTGAGATTTCAATAAATTCTTTTATGAAATGTGTCATTTTTGTACAAAAACAATATTTCCTCAAACTGATGATGTGCATTAACAAGTTGAATATCACATAAAAAAAAGTGTTACCAATTATTTCTAAATACAAAATAAAATTTGTATAAACAATAAATCCAAGATGGAAAATTACTCTAAATGTAATTAGAAGATATAGGAGAGAATTTTTTTGAAGAATTCAAAATTAATTCATTCTTCACACAGGAACACACAATCATGTACAGTGGTACCTCAGGATATGAACGCCCCAGCATATGAAATTTTCAGGATATGACATGAAATTTGAACATAATTTTGCTCCACAATATGAACAAAAACTCACCATACAATGTTACATTAGTTCGCAGCACCATTTTTTTATTCACTTCTGTTCATTGGTCTCAGTCCGCGTGTTTGCTTCGTCGTGGAAGGATCTCACTCTTTAAAGGAAATCTTGAGATATTATCAGAAAGTGACTGATTTTATTGAAAAGAAACATTCCGAAAAGGTTCACACTGGCCGTATTGCTGCTCGGAGTAATGACATTTGCCTAGTCATTTTAGAAACATTTTAAAAAGTAGGCAAAGCCAAACTTCTTTGGATAGATATTTTACCAAGCAACCTCTATTCAGTGAAAGTACTGGGTATAANCCTCTATCCAGTGAAAGTGCTGGTGGAAGTGAAGGAAAGAAAGCAAAAAGTAGTGAATAAAAATGTAAAAATATATAAATATAACAACACTAATTTTTTTTAATCTTTTCTAAGTTATTTTTAAGTTATTGTTACATTATGTTATGTAAGTTAAGTTTTAATATCATTTCCCTTCTCCCTCGCTTTCGCCACCAGTTTACACCTCCACTGTCGTCTATCCTCAAAGGTAAAGCGCAAATAAAACTACATTTTTTTTTTAATCAATTATTATTCTATTATGGTTATTTATATATTTACAACTACAAAATGCATTTTTCAGTGTTTTCCTTACTAAAGTTATTTTTTTTCAATGTACTACTTAGCGTTAATTTGAGTGTGTTTTTTGTGTTGGAACGAATTATTTGGTTTTACATGTAATCGTATGGGGGAAAATGATTCACTGTACGACATTTTCATGATACGATCTCAGTTTCGGAATGGATTAATTTCGTATCCTGAGGTACCACTGTATTGGTGTTTATCTTCGTTTATAAACATCTCACTGTCTAAATATGTAAAATTTCTGTAAGTCCTTTTGGTATCTACATAGTTTAAAAAGTGTAACTTTTGTAAACAATGAAGTTTTCTGTGATGTGGAAAGAATGAATTGAAAAGACTTCAGAAAAAAAATTGTTTTCTAACTACAAATATTTATTAGTATTAAAAAAAGCTACTTATTGTATCTTTCACCTAAGTTTATATTATAAAGATATAATAGAAAGAAAGCTACAGTAGAGCATCGATAATTCAAATATCAATCAACCGAAATGCCAGTTAACCGAAAGTTTTCCAGTTGGCAGATTTAAATTGTGGCACTGCAATATTTGGCTATGTCTTGGGCTACTCCAATATTATTTTTGTTGGTGTGCATGTTTTAGATGCCAGCACTGGTATGACCACGAGAGGATACTTAAGGACATGCCAGGATTTGAATGAATTTCAACATGGGATAGGTTAATATATTTTTTTGTATGTAATCAGTTATCCAAAAAATCAATTTTCCGAACAACCCCAGTCCCCAATTGATTTGGATAATTGATGCTCTACTGTATTTATAAATTTGGTATTTTTAATTACATTTACATAATTTTTTTTTATAGAAAATAGCCTTCCTTCAGAATTTTCACCTTCAAATGATTTAAGTTGTAATGACGGTAAAGTAAAAGGTATTTTAAAATCTGCACAAGATTTAAAAGACAAAGATTCCAATATAGAAACTGTGAATAACAATTTGCAATTAGATGAGAGAAAAGAAAAGTGCCATTTTTCTGAAGAAAACTCAGAAGGCCAGAAACTTAGTACAGAATGATTTATTTTCTTTTGAAGAATATGGCATATGTCTTATTGCCAGTAAGTAAATTATATTTTATCATTTAAATATTTTAAAAATAAAGCAATAATAATATATATTAAAAGTTAAAATTATATTTTACTAGCAGATGAGCTTTGTGTTGCTCGAGCAAAAAATAACAACAGCAAATATTAAGATTATTAGATTATTTCATACTTTTAACCCTTTTATTGTATTATTTTATAGTCTTCTAATCCTACTATTATACCACATTATAGTATTTGATTTATATATCTATGAAGGTTATCTTACGTAAGAGTTTATCACATCAAATGACCAATCTAACATATAAAAATTCTTTAAATTGTGTACAGAGGAATAAAGAGTTTTTAGAGGAATAAATAAGTTTTAAAATGTGTTAGATTGGTCATTTGGTGTGATAAACTCTTACATAAGATAACCTTTATAATTATATAGCTGATCTTGCCAGTTTTCATTGGGTGTGAGAATTAGGCCCCCCTCTTCTGAGGCTAGTTAGAAAATTTTTAGATGGGTTTAAAAATATGTTTAATTTCCTGCAAAAATACAAAAAATTGCATCTAAAATAGTATAGTAGAAGCAAAATTTTTCGGGTAATCTTTAACTCTCTTCCTCCTCCCCACGAGGGAAATTCCGAAAAAATTTTTTAGTGTGCATTCTCATGTAACTGTGTACCAAATTTAAACTTAACAGTTCCTTTTTTTTTTTTTTTTTTTTTTTTTTTTCCAGTTTCAAATTTATAACAGTTCCTAACTGTTTGGGCTCTGTGCTTATTATTATTATTATCAATCCATCCTGATTAAATTATAAGATTAGGATCAAATTTATGAGAAATTTTTAATGTTACTTGAATAAAATGATTAATTTTAAATTCTAAAATCTAAAAAAAGCTTGTTTGGAACAAATTCAAATATTCATTTGAATTTGTTTATTTTGGATTTATTGTTTTTGAGTTATCCAAAAAGTGGAAATGATTAAAATATTTATTAATTGCCAAAATGTATATTATATGGGCTACTATTTATTTTCCTTCTTTATTATTTACACTTTATANTTAATTTTCAATTCTAAAATTTAAAAAAACTTGTTTGGAACATTATATTTCGAATTTGGAATGAATTCAAATATTTGTTCGAATTTGTTTATTTTGGATATATTGTTTTTGAGTTACCCTAAAAGTGGAAATGATTAAAATATTTATTAATTGCCAAAATGTATATTATATGGGCTACTATTTATTTTCCTTCTTTATTATTTACACTTTATACTGACTAAAACTAATTCTCTCCTCCTCTTCCCTTGGGGGGGTTGAATTTCCAAAAATCTCTTCTTAGTGTGCATTCTCATGGTGCACCTACTAAAACACAGTTAAAAACACAAAAATTGCATCTAGAATAGTACAGTAGAAGTCAAGTTCTTTAGTGTAATCAATTATCATCTCCCTCTCCCGCATGAGGAGGAATTTCAAAAAATCCCTTCTTAGTGTACATTCTGTGTACCAAATTTCAACTTTCAACTCCTCATCATTTGGGCTCTGTGCTTATTATTATTATTATTAACCCATCTCAATTATATTATAAGATAATTTTGTATAATTTAAAGATATTTTTATTCTTAACTTCTTAATAGCATAAATATTTTTAAATTTATTTCTGAAAAATGTTTTCATAACTGCAGAACTTGATTAGTTAAATATTTTATATAAAATTATATATTTTTAATATTGGTACATAAAATTTTATATATTTGAATAGAGTTATTAAATTATATAAACTTTAATTAATAAGAAAATAATATAATTAACACTTCAATACATAATGTAAAAAATTTTTCATTTAATAAGATTTTAATTTCTTTTATAACACTGAAACATGACATATCAATCCAAGAATGAATGAACTCTGTTCTATAATTGATAGATTCCATTAAACAGTAAACTGTTGACAAAAGGAATACAAATAATTTGTTTTTAGAATCAATGTAATTGTTGTAAAAAGTATATATTTAAATATTATTTTGATAATTATCAAACATTAAAAAAGTAAATGTAAACTGAGACAGTACTACTATAAATATTAAGTAATAAGCAGGATGACATCTCTGTAATGATTCTATATGTCCTCATTTGGATACAGGCATCTCTAAATTGCAATCATCTATAAATGAATCTCTACAGGGTTGGAACCATCATTTGACAGAAACTGTATCACTGCATGTTGATCTGCTTTGAACAGATTTGAAATACATTCCACCATCATTGGACTATGGTATCACTCATATAGATTTTGGTGTTTGTTGCAAAATTTGTAACTGAAAGATAATTTAATAACCATTACTTCTTCTTACATCAGTTTTCCTGTACTTCAAAACAGCTGTCATACTTCATATGGTTACACTGTAATATTCATGTATATATAGCACATTATGCAAACACTGCCGTGAATAGAAACTTTTTGATCATGCATTATAGAATACCTACAGGAGAAGATAATGTGCAAACAATCCATTCTGTTTTTTTTTTTCTTTCTTCAATGTTGTTGTTGTTAGTTAAGTTATCGCAATTCAACACTTGGGTGATCTGCCTAGTGGGGATGCCTTCCAGGAGGTCTTTTTAAGGGAAACTGGCTCCTATTTAGGCGTTAAGATGTGGAGAAAACTCCGTATGGCCAGCTTGTCCGAGCGAGGCATGAACCCATAACCAAACTCACAGTGTTCAGGGTACAAAGACCACTTGGCCACTGGTGGGCATATTTTTTCTTCAAAATTATGTTTTATTTCATTTTCGCTTGTTCTTGTATACATACATAAACAGTGGTGCCTCATACTTTGAATTTAATTTGTCCTAGGAGACTGTTTGAAGTCCAAATCAATTTTCTCCATTAGAAATAATGGAAAGTAAATTAATCTGTTCCCAGACCCCAATATTCATGTCAATAAATTTAAACAGCAAATACACATAATTTCAGGTAAAAATAAGACAATTAAATGCCCTAAATAATAAATTAAAACATGAAAACAATAAATAAAATACATAAATACTGTATAATAAAATAAAAAATGCATTTACTACAAATAATCTTCTCAGAAATGATATCAACAACCAATTGCTTCTCATTTATCCACACTAAGAGGAATTTTCCATCTCCTCCATAACATACAATTTTCTGGAGGTTGACATTGAACTGTCAACTTCCAGAAAATTATACATTATGATTGAACTATCTAAATATGAAATTTAGACAGTTTAATTTTTTTTAGAAACAACTGGAAAATAAAGTTTTTAGAATATTTAATGTGGATATCCAAGTGGAGTAACCAAAGGGTGTTTTATCACATATTTCATTGGAAATAGATGCATCAGCAATGTCTGACAATATGAAACTTTCAAAAGAAAACATTCATATGCTGCCGTTCTATCACTTCAAAAGTGACCACAATGCGATGAAGTCTCATAATCTCACCTTGAAAATTGTTTGTTAAAGCATTATGGGAAGCATTAAGAATAAAGATCAAGTAGCTGTTGCAAATATCAAAGGGCAGATAGTTCAAAAGAAGTTGATGGATGATCTCTGTTTAGCATCATGATGATGGAGCTGCTTCCAACCAATATCAGTCATGAAAGAATTCTACTGTGAACAACTGGATCATTTCAGCACCTGAGATTAAAAAACTTTATCTAAAATTGCCATGACAATGCACCAGTACATAGAGCAAAGGTGACCTTAGAGAAGCTAGCCATTTTGGACTGGGAGGTTCTGCTTCATCCGTCAGTCCATACTTGGTGCTTACTGACTGTAAACTATTTTGCACCCTGTAGAACCATATTGCCAATATACAGTTCAATGACGATACCCAATGTTTAAGACTTTCTTCAAAGAAAAACCCCAGTCATTCTATGGATTGAAAGTTTGCAGCAAAGGTGGCAAGATGTGATTGATATTGATGATGATTACCTATTAGGCTGAGCTGTAATCATTGAGTTAATTATTGTCAACTAAGTTTTTTCAAAATGTCTAAATTTTACCTTTAGAACCTAATGTATATAACCAAACATAGAAAAACTAAAGTGAAGAAAGCTCTGAAAATACTCGAATGTAACACAGTCTCTCTCAAGTTCTTTCTCATTTTAGCTTTCACAGCAAGATTGAGAGAGAACTTGGATGCACAACAGATGGCAAATAAATGTGTTCACTGTAAAAAAGAAGCACATATTTTTTACTGCATGTGCATTTCAAACTGTGATTAATTGTTTGAACTCTGAGTTGAATTTCTTTCAAATTTAACATTCAAACTCTGGAACATTTGAAATAAAGTTATCACTGTACACACTATATAAATTCATATTGATAAAATAAATTATAATGAAAAATATGACATGCAGTGTGTAGCGTCTTTGTAATCCAAAAAGATTTCTCTTTTTGGATTACAAAGACGCTACACACTGCATTTGATGATACAGCAACCACGTCCTCTACATTAAGAAAAATATGACATCTTTAATTTTGTTAGAATAAATATATAATTCTAATAAACAAATTTATATTTTAGATTTGTATGCTGTCACTACATTAGGTGTGATGATAATGAAAGTTCCCCACACTATATTCATTTGAAAGGTAGCAGTTAACTTCAAGATTTCAGCTAACTGAAGGTTATAGAATTGCTCTTTAAGAAAATGTTTGGATTGAGGATGGAAAAACAGGAGCAGCAGTACTCTCTCCCATCCATGACACCCATGGCATCTCCCTCTGACAGCTTTGCTACTATAAATAATCTTTGTTTACTTAATAAGGTAATTTTCTTGAAATTTTATTTTATTTTTTTATATTGTTATCATTTTTATGTTCAAAATACTTCTTAATGTAATTATAAAAGTACAGCAGAATATAGTTTATCTGAAAGTCGGTTATCCGAAACGTCAGTTATCTGAAAGAATTCCAGTTGGCAAATTTAAATTTTCGCTAGTGCTGTGGCACTGCAATCTTTGGCTATATCTTGGGCTATTCCAATATTATTTTTGTTGGTGTGTGTGTTTTAGCTGGCAGCACTGGCAACTTTTGTGTAGTGTTTTTTTGAGGACTGTGTGTCGTGCTGAATTGAACTTTTTTGATACTAGATTAACTTCTAAAGTATAATTTTTTTGTGTTTTTATATTGAAAATATAAAAACACAAAAAAAATTATACTTTAGAAGTTAATCTAGTATTTTTTTTTCAATATATTTATTTTGTTTGTAAAAAATAAAGAAATAATTTATAATGATACAATAGCCACAATTATTATTTTTAAAAGTTTACATTAGGCTTAACATTGACGAAAATTTAATGCGAAGCGACACGCAACGGAGAAAAATTTCAACATGGGATAGGTTAATATATTTTTTCGTACATAATCTGTTATCTGAAAAATAAGTTATCTGAACAATCTCAGTCCCCAATTGATTCGGATAAATGACGCTCTACTGTATTTATATATTGAAAAATATATGAAGTATTTTCAAATGTTTTTCCTAATACATGGTTTCATAATTACTCTAGTATACAATAAAACTTCTCCAGAAGACCCCCCTTTAGATGACCATAATTTCTTAGAACAGAATTTTTATTCTATAGGACTCATTGTTTTTAATCCTTTGTAATCCTATTAATCATTGTACCTCCTTTAGCCAACCACCTCTTTACCCAGCCAGTGATCACCTGGATTAATCCCTTTGTGTACATTAAAGAAGTTGGGATATTTATTTCGATTAACAGGCACCATCTATCAGATAGCTCGTATAATGTTGTCTGTTGTGTTTTGTCAGATACAACTATTTCCATAGTAAGTAGTTATTATAACTGATTAGTGGGCATCAGGAATGAAAGTGACTTGTTGATTAGGCATTACAGAACAAACTGTAAAGAAGTTTAAAATACGATATGATTTTTCTGTTTTGATTGCCAGATACTAATGTATATGTAGTAAATATACTATCAAAGTGACTAAGTGTGCCTGGAATATGAATGACAAATTAATTTGGTATTGTAAAAAGAAAAGTTTATTGAAAACAATTGAAAAACATTAAAAAATAAAAAAACATATTTATTTATATTACCCAAATTATCTTGTAGTTGGCATCTGTGAAAGAAAAGTTACTTCATGCACCCACTGCAAGATAATTCTCATTGATATTTTTTTTTGTTAAATATTAAATATTACTACCAATTATACTTAAAAATAAAAATTTAAAACAGCAAATAAACATTGATTAAGCACTTCTTAAGATTTTCAATCCCATCTTCAGATCAGCATTTGATGATCTGACTATTTGAATAGAACAATTTTATGAATCTAACAACCAACATTACAAACTCTAACATTTCTTTAACAAAATTAACAGATAGCTTTAAAATTTGAAATATATAGAAAAATTAATAATAAACATGCAAATACTATAACATTACCCATGCATAAACTAAGAAACAAAAATAAAAAAGCAAAATACAAATAAAACTAAAATAAAAGTAAATAAAATAAGGTAAAATAATAACTGTAAAAGGTAAAAAAAAAAAAAAATAATAATAATAATAAAATAAGAATAAAATAACCATAAATAAAAATACATAATTTAATAATACAGTGGTACCTCAGGATACGAAATTAATCCGTTCCAAAACTGAGATCATATCATGAAAATGTCGTAAGGTGAATCATTTTTCCCCATACGATTACATGTAAAACCAAATAATTCGTTCCAACACAAAAACCACACTCAAATTAATGCTAAGTAGTACATTGAAAAAAATTACTTTAGTAAGGAAAACACTGAAAAATGCTATTTGTAGTTGTAAATGTATAAATAACTATAATAGAATAATAATTGATAAAAAAAAATGTAGTTTTATTTGCACTTTACCTTTGAGGATACACAACGGTGGAGGTGTAAACTGCTGGCGGAAGAGAGGGAGAAGGGAAATGATACTAAAAGTTAACTTACATAACATAATGTAACAATAACTTAAAAATAACTTAGAAAAGATTAAAAAAAATTAGTGTTGTTATATTTATATATATATATTTAATTTTTATTCACTGTTGTTTTGCTTTCTTTCCTTCACTTCCACCAGCACTTTCACTGGATAGAGGTCGCTTGGTAAAATATCTATCCAAAGAGGTTTGGCTTTGCCTACTTTTTAAAATGTTTCTAAAATGACTTAGGCAAATGTCATTACTCCGAGCAGCAATACGGCCAGTGTGAACCTTTTCGGAATGTTTCTTTTCAATAAAATCAGTCACTTTCTGATAATATCTCAAGATTTCCTTTAAAGAGTGAGATCCTTCCACAACGAAGCAAACACGCGGACTGAGACCAATGAACAGAAGTGAATAAAAAATGGCGCTGTGAACTAATGTAACATTGTATGGTGAGTTTTTGTTCATATTGTGAAGCAAAAATATGTTCAAATTTCATGTTGTATCCTGAGGTACCATTGTATTCACAGACAATTTAAAAGTTAAAACGCAATTTGAAACATTGGTCTGGCCAATGGAAATTTGTACAATATAAATAGCTAGGACTTGAGCAGAAGCTTAACCTCCAGTTTTCAGAGGAAGACTCATGATTGTAAAGAAAAAAGCCATAGCCAAGGATGTAATTCATTTCTTTCTTTTATTTATGTGCAGAAGTTTGGCAATGGTGATGGTCAACTTTTCAGCCATTGTAAGTGGCAAATTTCTTGTATTTTTTTAACAGAATCTTTGTGTCCTTTAATTGAAGAGAAGCTTTCTTTTTCACAAGATTTATTTTATTAGGACTATATATAATATAATTTTCCTTGTTTGAGATCATCTTTAAACTCGGACATCATGGTCTTAAGTGTGCAATATATGCTGTATGTAGTATTCTTTCCTGTCATCTGTTCGATTGCAATGGAATACATGCTACTTTGTTGCTCCTTTGGTTCAATTCTTTTTTCATTTTTAATTATCTCATATATCTGCTTTTTATAGTCAGCACATCTACATCATTTTTTGCTTAGAGGTTTGTATAGAGTTTAGGAGACTCCCGGTCCAGTGATAGATATTTATTATTTCAATCACAGTACTTGTGTTTTGTTGCTTATGCTGATATCTACCATCTTATTTTTTGGAAGATTCTGCACTAGGTTGTGATGAAATCCAAAGAGCATAGTGGTCTCTATGACTATACTGATTTTTTTTAATGTAAATCATCTGCATATGACAAATAGATGAAGACTTTTCAAAGTAGTACCCTAAAGGCTACTGTTTTATAATACACTGAATCATCTGAGATGGATTGAGTGCATGACAGTATAGACCAGGGGTGTCCAACCTTTTTGTTTCTCTGGGCCGCATTGGAAGAAGTCAAGGAGTTTTGGGCCACAAGTATATATAATATATACTTGTGGCCCAATATACAAGTATATTTAAGGATTAACATGTCTAGATTATAATAATAAGTATTAAAACTTTATCACGAAAAAAGATATTTTAAAAAATTACTTCTATAGACACTTTCAATTTTTACTTAGAACTAGATAAATTCATTTATTATAAAAGAGACAAACAAAAATTTATTTGAAAAACACAAATATTTGTTTTATTTGGGTCTCTAATTAATAAAAAGCATTTAATCAAAAAAGACACAGTCTGTCCAAAGATATTTTTTGAAAACCACCTTTATACTTATCATGTGTTCCAGAATACCTTTGATGGCCGGACCTTTCTTTTCAGGCTACTAGGTCGTCAGGTTAAAACATTCCTCAAAAAACACACAAAAAATCCAATTAAAACAATAAAGTAAAAAGTTGGAACTGGTGGTCTTACAGATGTCTTGAATTTTCATCCTGTCCAGTTAGGGAATTTCAGGCCTTTATGTCCACTTGGTAAGTGTGCTGTTAAATGTAGATTTTGGTGTTATCCCTCTGGTGACGAATTATTTNCACTTCAATACATAATGTAAAAAATTTTTCATTTAATAAGATTTTAATTTCTTTTATAACACTGAAACATGACATATCAATCCAAGAATGAATGAACTCTGTTCTATAATTGATAGATTCCATTAAACAGTAAACTGTTGACAAAAGGAATACAAATAATTTGTTTTTAGAATCAATGTAATTGTTGTAAAAAGTATATATTTAAATATTATTTTGATAATTATCAAACATTAAAAAAGTAAATGTAAACTGAGACAGTACTACTATAAATATTAAGTAATAAGCAGGATGACATCTCTGTAATGATTCTATATGTCCTCATTTGGATACAGGCATCTCTAAATTGCAATCATCTATAAATGAATCTCTACAGGGTTGGAACCATCATTTGACAGAAACTGTATCACTGCATGTTGATCTGCTTTGAACAGATTTGAAATACATTCCACCATCATTGGACTATGGTATCACTCATATAGATTTTGGTGTTTGTTGCAAAATTTGTAACTGAAAGATAATTTAATAACCATTACTTCTTCTTACATCAGTTTTCCTGTACTTCAAAACAGCTGTCATACTTCATATGGTTACACTGTAATATTCATGTATATATAGCACATTATGCAAACACTGCCGTGAATAGAAACTTTTTGATCATGCATTATAGAATACCTACAGGAGAAGATAATGTGCAAACAATCCATTCTGTTTTTTTTTTTCTTTCTTCAATGTTGTTGTTGTTAGTTAAGTTATCGCAATTCAACACTTGGGTGATCTGCCTAGTGGGGATGCCTTCCAGGAGGTCTTTTTAAGGGAAACTGGCTCCTATTTAGGCGTTAAGATGTGGAGAAAACTCCGTATGGCCAGCTTGTCCGAGCGAGGCATGAACCCATAACCAAACTCACAGTGTTCAGGGTACAAAGACCACTTGGCCACTGGTGGGCATATTTTTTCTTCAAAATTATGTTTTATTTCATTTTCGCTTGTTCTTGTATACATACATAAACAGTGGTGCCTCATACTTTGAATTTAATTTGTCCTAGGAGACTGTTTGAAGTCCAAATCAATTTTCTCCATTAGAAATAATGGAAAGTAAATTAATCTGTTCCCAGACCCCAATATTCATGTCAATAAATTTAAACAGCAAATACACATAATTTCAGGTAAAAATAAGACAATTAAATGCCCTAAATAATAAATTAAAACATGAAAACAATAAATAAAATACATAAATACTGTATAATAAAATAAAAAATGCATTTACTACAAATAATCTTCTCAGAAATGATATCAACAACCAATTGCTTCTCATTTATCCACACTAAGAGGAATTTTCCATCTCCTCCATAACATACAATTTTCTGGAGGTTGACATTGAACTGTCAACTTCCAGAAAATTATACATTATGATTGAACTATCTAAATATGAAATTTAGACAGTTTAATTTTTTTTAGAAACAACTGGAAAATAAAGTTTTTAGAATATTTAATGTGGATATCCAAGTGGAGTAACCAAAGGGTGTTTTATCACATATTTCATTGGAAATAGATGCATCAGCAATGTCTGACAATATGAAACTTTCAAAAGAAAACATTCATATGCTGCCGTTCTATCACTTCAAAAGTGACCACAATGCGATGAAGTCTCATAATCTCACCTTGAAAATTGTTTGTTAAAGCATTATGGGAAGCATTAAGAATAAAGATCAAGTAGCTGTTGCAAATATCAAAGGGCAGATAGTTCAAAAGAAGTTGATGGATGATCTCTGTTTAGCATCATGATGATGGAGCTGCTTCCAACCAATATCAGTCATGAAAGAATTCTACTGTGAACAACTGGATCATTTCAGCACCTGAGATTAAAAAACTTTATCTAAAATTGCCATGACAATGCACCAGTACATAGAGCAAAGGTGACCTTAGAGAAGCTAGCCATTTTGGACTGGGAGGTTCTGCTTCATCCGTCAGTCCATACTTGGTGCTTACTGACTGTAAACTATTTTGCACCCTGTAGAACCATATTGCCAATATACAGTTCAATGACGATACCCAATGTTTAAGACTTTCTTCAAAGAAAAACCCCAGTCATTCTATGGATTGAAAGTTTGCAGCAAAGGTGGCAAGATGTGATTGATATTGATGATGATTACCTATTAGGCTGAGCTGTAATCATTGAGTTAATTATTGTCAACTAAGTTTTTTCAAAATGTCTAAATTTTACCTTTAGAACCTAATGTATATAACCAAACATAGAAAAACTAAAGTGAAGAAAGCTCTGAAAATACTCGAATGTAACACAGTCTCTCTCAAGTTCTTTCTCATTTTAGCTTTCACAGCAAGATTGAGAGAGAACTTGGATGCACAACAGATGGCAAATAAATGTGTTCACTGTAAAAAAGAAGCACATATTTTTTACTGCATGTGCATTTCAAACCGTGATTAATTGTTTGAACTCTGAGTTGAATTTCTTTCAAATTTAACATTCAAACTCTGGAACATTTGAAATAAAGTTATCACTGTACACACTATATAAATTCATATTGATAAAATAAATTATAATGAAAAATATGACATGCAGTGTGTAGCGTCTTTGTAATCCAAAAAGATTTCTCTTTTTGGATTACAAAGACGCTACACACTGCATTTGATGATACAGCAACCACGTCCTCTACATTAAGAAAAATATGACATCTTTAATTTTGTTAGAATAAATATATAATTCTAATAAACAAATTTATATTTTAGATTTGTATGCTGTCACTACATTAGGTGTGATGATAATGAAAGTTCCCCACACTATATTCATTTGAAAGGTAGCAGTTAACTTCAAGATTTCAGCTAACTGAAGGTTATAGAATTGCTCTTTAAGAAAATGTTTGGATTGAGGATGGAAAAACAGGAGCAGCAGTACTCTCTCCCATCCATGACACCCATGGCATCTCCCTCTGACAGCTTTGCTACTATAAATAATCTTTGTTTACTTAATAAGGTAATTTTCTTGAAATTTTATTTTATTTTTTTATATTGTTATCATTTTAAAGTATTTACTTACAGGCTTGCCTCAGATAATGCAAATCATCAGTTAATCAGGGTTAAATAAGCAGGGTTCTATGTATACAGTGATTTTGGACATGAACAAAAAATGTAAACATTTAAGACTCTAAACATCTTTTAAACTAAAATTATAATTGAACATAATTCCTTCCTTATTAGAATTAATTAATCAGACAAAACAAGGTATAATGTTTATGCATCATTCTTGATAAATTTTTACATTATACTGACTAAAACTAATTTAATTGTTTTCATTATAGCATAAAAATGTATACAAGTACACATTACACAGACAGTAATTAATAATTGCACAAACACAATTTATTAGTAAACTGACATATTTTTCTAATTATTCTAAGCAGTGTGATGAAGTCAGTAAACAAAAAATCCAACTCCAGCAAATTTGCAATGTGCAACTCCAACCTTACTTTTTTTTTTTTTTTAAATGTCACACTATGATTCCTTTTATAAGAAAGACACCACTGGATACTTAAATATTTTTATCCAAAATTTCTCTATCAAAATCTGTACTGAAATTCATGGCAAGAATCAAAAAATGAATATAACAAATTTACCTTGGAAAAACTTTTGAATACATAAAGAAGCTCACTATATCTTAATAGGCAAAAGAATTTCACTTTCATTAGTTAATTGTGAAAAGTTGATTTACGTTTAATTATTTTCAACAAAAAAGTTAAATTCTCTCCACCTGAATAAAAACCTTTCAATCTCCAGTGTTATTCTTCTTGGCAAACGTTTTCGACCCTACCAGGGTCTTCTTCAGGCCACTGTTATACTAAATTCAAACAGTACAAAAATCGAACAGGAACCGTATAAATGCGATTCAAATCCCAGAACGTCTATGTTAATATCAAAAATATAGAACACCACGCTCTTGCTTCGATGACGTCAAAGCTTGCGTAATTTGCGCTGGTAATAAAACCATATTACATTCAATTATGGGTTGCTCCTTCATAGCAAAATTTCCATGCACTAGAGATGTTGACTGCGTCTTTGGAGTTAATACATGTGTTGTTTAATCCCGCTTTATAAATTTCTAAGGTCTCCATAAAAAAGTTAAATACAATAAATGCAAAAAATAACAATTTGACAAATGATGTAATAAACTGGTTCATAAAATAGTTTCTCCCACTCTGGCTACAATGGGAAATAGTTAATTTCCTACTAATGGTTGACTAAACTGAAGTACATAACGAAATTTTAAAGTATAAAATCTAGAAAAAAATCAATAATCCTGAACTGACAAATGCAATCGTGCCCCAAAATACTGTATAAAATAATAAATTATAAGCCAAAACAATCCCATTAATTACATTTTGCACTTTTCTCTTCTTCTTTTACTTTGTTGCAATTAGATTCCAATCTCAGTTTTACTTTCTTCATTGTTTTTTAATTGACTGTTTTAAGACCAAATTATGTCACAGAAGCAATAATAAATAATCATAAATAACTCAAAATGAATAGAAGGGCAGTGAAAAAATTAATTAGTCAAATTAACCAAAAGAAAAAAAGTTGATATCCAAAGTAAAATGTCCAAGATGTAAAAATATACTTCAAAGTAAGCGTTTACTTTCCAGGTGCGATCATACAACTAACTACAAGAGTTCAGTGATTTTATGTACTCGACCACTGGTGAGCCTCAAATTAATAAAAGCTACTGTTTGTAAGTATAGAGCACATTACATGAGATACATATAACATTTTGCTATGAAACAGCATTTATGGGTTAATATCATTTTGATATCTAAATTTATCAAAGTGTCCATCTTCTAAGGAATTTCTTTAGATACTAATTAATTAAAAACTATTTTTCTTACTTTTACCAATAGTAAACTTAGATGTCAGAGATGTTGGAATCTAAATTATTTTACCAACTCCAACTCCACCAAATAACATCCAATTCCAGTGACTCCGACTCCATAACACTGATTCTAAGTTGTAATTTATAAAATGATTCAGGATTTTTGTATTTATTATTATCTATCTACTTTCACAATATTGTATTATCATGCAGTTTCATTTGCTACTGAGATTTTTATGTATTCTACTTGTAATTTACAACTTATTCAAGATTCTGTTTCAAAATTCTAAGTCTAATATTTATTGTTGTCCTACTAAAAATATTAATTAAATATTTAAATTTTTATTGCTTAAAAAAATTAAAAAGTAGTCTTTTATTTAATAATAATCATTGTTTTGTTTGTATTTTTTTAAAATTTTTGCTTTGTTCATTGTACAGAAAACTTAATTTATAATTTCACAATTTATTGGTAATCAGCTTTATGCAGAAAATACATATCAAAACACCAAAATCCAGCAAATAAACATTACTTTAATGGCAAAATGAATGTTCTGCAATTAAAATACTGTCCTCTAATGGCAAAATAAACATTCTGTGGTAGGGATGGTCATCTAAAACAGTAGAAAACATTAGTTTTGCCATTAAAATACCATTTATTTGCTGTATTTTGGTGTTTTTGGTGTGCATTCTCAACATACATCCAGTTTCTCAATTGGTTATTTATATATAGAGCTTTATATATATGATAATTAATTGAAATATAAATATTTTTCTACAATGTTAAAAATTTTAAATATATATTTACTGAACTGACTAAAAAAGTAAAACAAATATTTTTCTATGTAAGCTTTATTATTATATTTTTCTTATGATAATACCATACTTAAATTAATATTAAAAACATGAACTNATAGAGGTTGCTTGGTAAAATATCTATCCAAAGAAGTTTGGCTTTGCCTACTTTTTAAAATGTTTCTAAAATGACTTAGGCAAATGTCATTACTCCGAGCAGCAATACGGCCAGTGTGAACCTTTTCGGAATGTTTCTTTTCAATAAAATCAGTCACTTTCTGATAATATCTCAAGATTTCCTTTAAAGAGTGAGATCCTTCCACAACGAAGCAAACACGCGGACTGAGACCAATGAACAGAAGTGAATAAAAAATGGCGCTGTGAACTAATGTAACATTGTATGGTGAGTTTTTGTTCATATTGTGAAGCAAAAATATGTTCAAATTTCATGTTGTATCCTGAGGTACCATTGTATTCACAGACAATTTAAAAGTTAAAACGCAATTTGAAACATTGGTCTGGCCAATGGAAATTTGTACAATATAAATAGCTAGGACTTGAGCAGAAGCTTAACCTCCAGTTTTCAGAGGAAGACTCATGATTGTAAAGAAAAAAGCCATAGCCAAGGATGTAATTCATTTCTTTCTTTTATTTATGTGCAGAAGTTTGGCAATGGTGATGGTCAACTTTTCAGCCATTGTAAGTGGCAAATTTCTTGTATTTTTTTAACAGAATCTTTGTGTCCTTTAATTGAAGAGAAGCTTTCTTTTTCACAAGATTTATTTTATTAGGACTATATATAATATAATTTTCCTTGTTTGAGATCATCTTTAAACTCGGACATCATGGTCTTAAGTGTGCAATATATGCTGTATGTAGTATTCTTTCCTGTCATCTGTTCGATTGCAATGGAATACATGCTACTTTGTTGCTCCTTTGGTTCAATTCTTTTTTCATTTTTAATTATCTCATATATCTGCTTTTTATAGTCAGCACATCTACATCATTTTTTGCTTAGAGGTTTGTATAGAGTTTAGGAGACTCCCGGTCCAGTGATAGATATTTATTATTTCAATCACAGTACTTGTGTTTTGTTGCTTATGCTGATATCTACCATCTTATTTTTTGGAAGATTCTGCACTAGGTTGTGATGAAATCCAAAGAGCATAGTGGTCTCTATGACTATACTGATTTTTTTTAATGTAAATCATCTGCATATGACAAATAGATGAAGACTTTTCAAAGTAGTACCCTAAAGGCTACTGTTTTATAATACACTGAATCATCTGAGATGGATTGAGTGCATGACAGTATAGACCAGGGGTGTCCAACCTTTTTGTTTCTCTGGGCCGCATTGGAAGAAGTCAAGGAGTTTTGGGCCACAAGTATATATAATATATACTTGTGGCCCAATATACAAGTATATTTAAGGATTAACATGTCTAGATTATAATAATAAGTATTAAAACTTTATCACGAAAAAAGATATTTTAAAAAATTACTTCTATAGACACTTTCAATTTTTACTTAGAACTAGATAAATTCATTTATTATAAAAGAGACAAACAAAAATTTATTTGAAAAACACAAATATTTGTTTTATTTGGGTCTCTAATTAATAAAAAGCATTTAATCAAAAAAGACACAGTCTGTCCAAAGATATTTTTTGAAAACCACCTTTATACTTATCATGTGTTCCAGAATACCTTTGATGGCCGGACCTTTCTTTTCAGGCTACTAGGTCGTCAGGTTAAAACATTCCTCAAAAAACACACAAAAAATCCAATTAAAACAATAAAGTAAAAAGTTGGAACTGGTGGTCTTACAGATGTCTTGAATTTTCATCCTGTCCAGTTAGGGAATTTCAGGCCTTTATGTCCACTTGGTAAGTGTGCTGTTAAATGTAGATTTTGGTGTTATCCCTCTGGTGACGAATTATTTCGAAGATTTTCATTTGTAGAATTTCGCCGGATGATAATTTTAGTTTAATCAAAAAAGACACAGCAATAAAAATAAAAAGCAATGAAACACCATTTTAAAGTGCATTTTTATTCATCTAATATATTTATAAATAATACATAGCCCAAAACGTAGCCAAAGCACCAAATGATATTTCTTACGTCAAACAAAAAATACATAGCCACATTTGGTGCAATGTAGCCAAATCTTGCAATGTTGGAAGAAATACTAAATAAAGCTGGAGTTGTGACTCAGAGGATTCTATATAGACCCAAATGTGGGGAAAAAAAAAGAAAGGACAAAAGATAAAGAAGTGAGAAAGGTTGGAAAATTAAGGGTCAATATTTGCATAACAGAAGATC